TATTTTTCAAGGACTTTTTAATACAAAAAATTAAATAAAAATCGAGAATTGAAGGATTTTGAAATTTTAATATTAATGTTTTTTTTTTATTTTACATTATTTTAAAATATAATTTAAAATATTAATTTAAATTTGAATGTTTATTGAAATTTTTAATAAATAAATAAAAATCGAGAACTTATTGATGAAATTACGGAAAGTTGGTGATTTAGTATTGAAAAACCAAATGAAAGAGAAAACTGGCTAAAGCAGTTGTGAATGAGCTTTTAGAACTTTAACCAACTTTAAGGTAGCAATTTAAATATGATATATATTTTTGAACACACAATTTTGCTCTAAATGGTTTCACTGTTTTCACTCTTCTGTAATAGTCTTTGTTGTTCCGTGTTCAAAGTAATGAAAGATTTATTATCGGGAAATCTATTTGTGAAGTCCATACCAGATGTATTAAAGTTGAGCCCAAAATAGCATCTGTTGGCCAGGCAAATTCTGCGGTAGTATTATTTTCAGTATTAAGCAGCGCTCCCAAGTATACAAATTCGTTCACTGCTTCGATGATGTCGTTTTCTATAACAAGTGGTCGTAGTATTTGTTGTCACGTGCTTATTTTCATATACTTCGTTTTGTTGGCATTTATTATTAAACCCTTTTTTCTTTTAATGCTACATACGCCTCTCGTACAGCGTTTTCTGTTCTTCCAACAATATTGATATCATCAACATATGCCAGGATTTGCACTGATTTATTATATATTGAACCAGTGGTTGTGATTTGTGATATACGTATTACTTTTTCCAGAGCCAAATTGAACAGTATACAGTAGAGAGGGTCTCCATGGCGCAGTCGTTAGTTGTTTTAAAACGTTCAGACAGTTCCCCCGGAATTCGTACTCTACGTTCAACTTTTTCAAGAGTTAGTTTTGTTAAATTTACCAATTGATTTAATATTCCTAGATCTTTCATTGCTTTGAACATTTCTCTTCTATTCACAGAGTCATAGGCTGCTTTGTAGTCTGAATTTATTCCTATATTAAAGCGTTAAATGAGTTATCACCCTCTAGATTTACTAGATTTTCTTCCATTTGATAGTTTACTAACAATCAACTTAAAAAATTATGTACATACTACGATTTATGTATAGCATTTTTCATATAAAAATGCTTGCACGTCATTCAAAATTTACGACGTCAGAACGCCACAGCGTTGCCAAAACATCAGAATAGTTAATAAGTGAGGAATTTTTAAAATGTCAACCATTTGTCAAACTATTATATTAACAGTAAGTTACTCTTAGTTTTAAGATTACTGCAACACACATAAAATACATAAGAAAGCATTTTTTAGGGCTTTAATAGTAAAAACGTCCCGCCGTTATTTCTTGTTCAAAATAATCTATCTAATATGAAATCTTATTAGCTCTCTACAGACTATTTATTTGTTTTGACATAGCACAATCAAAATACACAACAACAGTTAGTTTTTAAAGCTATTAGTCTAAATTTAATATGTATTTATAAATACAATTTATTAATATATAATATATTATGATCAAATTGTGTAAGAAATTAAAACATAAACAAAATTTTTACTCTAAAAAGCGGCAACACTTTATACACTTTTGCCATACGCTGAACTGTCAATAAAATTTGAAGTATTCCCGTATCAGTTGCGCACAATTCCCTAATCTATTGAATTAAAATAATTATTTTGTGGAATATTAGACTTAAAGAGTTATTTCATAACAATTATATTATTAATAATATCAAATGTTTTTGGTTATTTAATCAATATAATTCCAAAAATTTCCAATATAATGCATGATTAGATTTTTCTGATTATTACACCATCTTGACTCTAAAATTTGAACTCTAAGGTTGACGTTCTGGAAATTTTAAATATAAGTGACGTCACTTTATATAAATTGTGACGTGCAAGTATTTTTATATGAAAAATGCTATAGGTAATCTTAACATTTAATACTATTAGAAATTTTTTACACAAATATGTAAAAAACTTACTTGTGCGCATTAGCACATGGTATTGCCATTTACAACATCTCTGATGTTTATGTCCATATGTAAAGGATGATTTACGTAAGATTTGTGACTTCAGAACATATTTCCCTTCATTTTTGGACGCCAAGCGTAGAATTTAAATCAAATGTCAGCTTAAAAATAGTATAGGTCTAAAAAGGTGTAAGTATATATATTATCTTATTTACAAAACTACTCATTTTGTATTCTAAATACGTATACAAATAACAACAACGTTCACAGAGCTGATGACAATGATATTTGCATCGGAGTCGTTGATACCCGCAAAATGTAGTGAAGGGCACCATAATTTAGTAAATTCCCTTTACTGTAACAATACGAAACAAAAGCGCTGGACTTTTAAAATATTAATACATTATATTTTCGTCTTAATCTTCTCTACTCATTCGTAAAGAAAACTGTACAGCTTCCGTAAATAAAATAGAACGTAGCTAATTCGGCAAACTTTGGCCTTCCATTTCTCCTCGTTTTGTCCTGACTCACGCGGCCTGATGATCTGAAACTTGACATATAATAAAATATGACATTTAATGTCAAACGTGACGTTTAACACTCTACGGTAAAGGCCACGCTAGACATTTTATGTCAAATTTTACATTATTACGTATATCATGTTAAATAGAAAGTTTTTTAGGCCCTTTACTTTTTGATGGATGTTAAACGTAAAACCTTATACTTGTCATGCTCCTTGAATAATAAATAAGGGATAACGTTTTTACTTTAAATAGTTTTTGAATCCTTTCGGAAATTAAGCAATGACAGATTAACGTTAATTGAGATTTGACGAATGTAACCTATAAAATGGCAGTTATAGTATACTCTATAGCTTATTTTATTTAAATTATTGGCTATAATGGAAGAAAATATTGAAAATATATTAAGGCAACGAAGACACGGAGCAGTAATAGATCACAATTTGATAAGATGCTTAATTCTTCATAATATTTTTGATCCTGTAATAAATGTTGCACCGAGACCACATTTTGTGTAGGAAATAATTAAAGAGAAAGATGCTGAACTAAATTTTTGATTTAATAAAATAAATTTTGATTAGAATTTTAAACATCATCACTATATTTTTTATATAGAACAATTAGCCTAATGAGCCACTTACTTAAAACGTTCTTGAAAGTGATACACGGCAGAATATATAAAAAATGCGAGGAAACAAGTATCATGGACGCAGTTTGGATTCCACGATTCCTTAGGCACCCGAGAGGTTCTATTCGCTGTCCAAGTGCTTATGCAAAGATGTAGGGATGTTAACTGTGACGTGTATACTTGTTTTATCGACTAAAAAAGGCATTTGATAGAGTAAAGCATGATAAACTTATAAACGTCTTGAAAGAAGTGAGGTTAGATGATAGGGACTTGAGAATCATCTATAATTGGTATTACAACCAAACAGCCAATATTAAAGTGGATGACCAATTGACAGAGGCAGTCTCCATAGATAGAGGAGTGAGGCAAGGATGCATTCTGTCCCCGGTGTTATTTAATATATACTCTGAATATATCTTCGAGCAAGTGCTGGGAGAACTACAAGAAGGCGTATTAGTCAACGGAATGCGTCTAAACAACATTAGATATGCCGACGACGCAGTAGTTCTTGCAGATAGTCTGGACGGTTTGCAAAGAATAATGTCGCGTATATCAGATATAAGTAGAGAACACGGACTTGATCTTAATACGAAGAAACAAAGTACATGGTAGTCAGTAAGCGCGAAATATTATATTCACAGCTTTTGGTTAACCAACATCCAATTAACAGAGTGGACAGCTACACATACCTTGGTACCAACATTAACAGCCAATGAGATCACTCCAGTGAAATAAAACAACGCATAGGAAAAGCGAGATCAGCGTTCATAATGGTGAAGTCTCTTTTCAGAAGTCACGCTTTACCACTTGCTACCAAAATCTCTCTCATAAGATGCTATGTATTTCCAAGTTATTATACGGAGTAGAGGCCTGGACACTTTCCGAAGCTTTTTTAAGAAAACTCGAGGCATTCTAGATGTGGTGTTACGGACGTATTTTAAGAATTTCATGGGTGGATCGTGTCAGTTATGTTGAGGTCCTAAGTAGAATATGCAAGGAATGCGAGATTATTAACACCATCAAAGAGCGCAAACTAGAATATCTTGGCCATGTTATGAGGAATGAACAGAGATACGGCTTGTTGCAACTCATTCTTCAGGTCAAGGTATTTGGAAAGAGAGGACCAGGGAGAAGAAGAATATCTTGGCTTCAAAACCTGAGAAAGTGGTTTAATACATCGACAACCGGACTATTCAGAATAACAGACGAGAAGAGAAGACTATATTTTTTATTCTAGTTATCTTTGGTTCTGCTCATATGGGCTTGTTTCATTCTGCTTTTTTTTTTGTTTTTATGATATAGATATCTGGAATTTGACAACATTACAAACACGTAATCCCTTAATAAAGTTAAACTTATCTTTACCTAAATAAGGGAATACCTTATCCGCTAATAAAGTTATCCATTATTTTTCTGTTAATGCGCATGAGCAGAATAACGTATAACGTTTAACGTTACTGAAAAAAGGGGCTTATAAAACTCTCTAATATCACGTTTAACAGTATCAGTGTGCTCGTATCGGGGCAGAGTGACATGTCTTTCTACTTCGTTACAAGTAAAACGTCTAGGTACTAGCTTAGCTTATTAGATCATACATTAGTCTAGATCTAGATTCAACTCGGAATAATAAATTAACAGTTTTTTATTCTTTATTGCAAAACCAATACTGCATGTCTATTACATTAGAATTTTGGTTAATGTATGGATAATATTTTCATTGTAAGTTTTGTTTTTTTATTATTCTGAGTTTCTTTAATTACATATGGAACACAATTAGTTGAAATAATTAAACCAACATTGCCCATTTAACTAGAAAGTAGTTGGAAATACATGTTATTTTTTTCAGGTGACCGAACACAATTATCTCTTCCAGTAGACTCCAACATGGTTCACGCAGAATTTACGTATTACTACTATCCAAGCGATGTACCTTTTCCTTGTAAGTATTATAACGTGTATATTAAATCTGTTAGCGATTGCAATACACTCTTCAGTTAGTCCTGATATTTGTTGTTTAGAGACAAAAGAACGAAAGTTTATTGTTTCGGCATGAAATATATAATCTTTATCTCACTCCATCTTTCCCTTTTTTATCACAATGTCACATTCAATAATTTTTGTACTTCATCTCTTATCCTTTCGTCTTGCATGTGTAAAACTTCCACTTTATTTGTTTTATATTTGACTAATTTCGTACCCAATGTTTTATTTTTTGTTTATAAAAAGTATTCTTTTGTTTTTCAATATATGAGCTAATCTTCCGAATCCCTCCCAGTCTATCCCACGTTGGGCGCCAATGTGTAACCTAAAATTAAGGTTTGTTCAAACAAAAAACTGATTTTTTAAATTTAGCAGCTCGAGCGAACCGCCATGCAAAAAAAAGCAAAAGTCCAAACCTACATATAATTGATTGAAAGAAGATGTAAAAGCTGTAGACAATAGAGAAAGTTTCATTTCAAATGCTAATGAAGAAATATCCTCACTCGAATATTTCAGGAAATTTTTTTTCCGCAAATCGCCAGGAAATTTTGACATTCCTGTCAAAATTTCTTGAAGAAAAAGTCAGGACTTCCTTACTGTAAGAAAATGTCATTTCCTTACTGTAAGGAAATGATATTTCCGTACAGTTGTTAGTGTTCTACATAAATGATAGAAAAACACATTGCTTATAAGGAATTAATTTATATTTTGAAAACATCAAGTCATTGCTGAATACATTTTTAAGATCAAATTGTTATATTTACAGTAATTTGACAGTTAGTACAATTATTGAACATTGGAGGAACACTCTTATAACTATGAGAAACATTTTGGACAACATGCAGGGTGGAAGTGTCATTTTGTTGAATATTTTGTACTGTGAAAATTTTATTTGCCACCTCAACCTTATTGTTAAGCGATTCTTCGATATATCCTTCAGCAACGTTTGATGACTTCCATCCGCCATGCCTCTTTAAAACTAGTTATGTCGGCACCAGAGTCAACCAATATTGTTGCAGAAGACCGACGAAAGCAGTGACCAGTATATTCTGTCGGATTTACCAAGTTCAAATAAGTAGCAATTATTTTGGGCATTTTTCTAAATTGATGAATTCCTACCACTTGTCTACAACCCTTTCCGCTTTGATATTTAAAGAAAAATCGGTCACTGTTCATATTTTCTGGTCTTAACGAAACATACTTTCGATAAACATTCAAGTAGATCTGATTAATTACAAATGATCTTGGTTTGTTGGTTTTCGAATCAGGTATGCTGATTAAAAGCTTAGATTCTAAGTCTTCTATATCGTGTACAGTCATTCGGACTAACTCATCCATTCTACAGGCCCCAGAAATACCAAATATTACAGCCACCTAAAAAATAAATAAAGCTATAATCTGAATAGAAATTAAAACCTTGTAAATTACCTTAATCATTAAATTTTCTTTATCTGGAGCTTCCTGGATACATTTTTAAATTTTTTTCTTCGTTAAAATCTTAGATTTCTTTGCCCTATAACCTTGAGCTTGCCGTTTCAATAAAGAACGAAGTTTTGAGTATGTAGATATATCTACATTGTGTTTAAGTGCATGGGTTGACTTCAGCATTGAATAATTGGCCCATAATGTTGAAGATTTCATCTTTAAACAAAGGTCTAGGAAGTATGCCATTACAACATTTTCTGAGAAAGAACTCGTATTTTTACTCATGCGATAATCCATAAAACGTCTGTATGCATTTTCGTACTTTTCTCTTGATTTCTTTGGCAATAATTCTAATGAAGCAGTATTCACTGCCTCAACCAGCTCTGGAGGAGTCCCAGGAATGGAAATTTCATCATCACTTATCATTTTACTTTCGAGAACACCAGCAATTAAATTTATAAGCGTCAAGTTTGACAATTCAACCTCAATACGTTTCCATAGTAACCCAAGTAATTTTATTAGGAATTTCAAAGCACCATTTATTTGGGAATAAAATTATCGCGTTTTTTTTAAATCGATCAATATCTGTCGAATTTTAAACGATTTGCGGAAAAATAGTATGTTTACCTCGTAGGAAAAGCCACATTCCTGGACTCTGTGTTGCTAAGTCTCGGCTTGCGCCTCGACTTCACAGTCAGCAATCTTCACAGTCGTCCAGGAATGTTAATTTTTCCTACCCGGTAAACAATGTACTATTCATTTGATTTTTTTTCATAAAATAGTAGAGCAAACAAATCTTTACAATACTCAAGAGAGGGGAGCCAGCATTATCACTAATCATAAAGAAATGACAAGACTTTATTTCTATTCTTCTTCTAATGGGAATAATAAAACTACCGTCATATGAAGACTATTGGGTAGCTGATACTATAGTCGGATAAATTGCTAGTATTATGCCCGTAAAACGATTCAAATTGCTTAGACGTTATATCCATTTCAATTACAACAGCCTTGTTACACCAGCTATCAAAGACAGATTTGTCAAGATACGACCTCTTATTGAGGATATTCGTCAGAATTGTGTGAAATTTCATCTTGAAAATGACTACTCTATTAATGAGACGATAGTGGCGTATAAAGGAACACGTGCAGGTAACTTAAGGCAATACATAAAAAACAAAACCCACAAATGGGATTATAAATTTTTCGTAATTGCTGGAGTCTCCGGATGTATACTAGATTTTATACTTTACCAAGGTTCAACTACTTTTCCCGAACTAAAAGGAACTCGTAATGAACTAACAGAAAAAGAAGATTCATTGGGTGTTGGAGCTAGTGTCGTTATTTCCCTACGCAAGTCTCTCCGTGAGCCTCATAACAGCATAGTATATTTTGATAACTATTTTTTTAGCCCTGCTCTTTTTTCTTATTTGAAAAATTCAATGAAAATCTTGGGTTTAGACACTTTACGAGCTGATAGAATTGGAGGTTGCCCAATTGAAAGTGACAAGATTTTGAAAAAGCAAGCACATGGGTGGGGTAGATAAAGCCAATGCGCTAATGGGTCTTTACAAAACGCCGTGAAAAGCCTGAGTGATGATATTATTTAATATTTGCCTATTTTCTGGATATAAATGTGTAAATGCTTGGCTTATCTATCGGAATGATTGTGAGGTTTTAAATATAAAAAAAATATAAACTTTTAAACGTTTTTCGAAAAGAACTTGCATCCCATTAGCTACTGCCGTAAAAGAATGTGGTGGTAGACCTAGCTGTTTGAATATGGTTTCAATAGAAAAAATTAAATATTCAGTTATTTCTAGATCAGATGATACGACAAGAAAAGATTTTGTTGGCCATTGACTTGCCACACAACGAAAGGGAGGTGTAGGTACTGTCAAAAGGGTATAAGTCGATTTCAGTGTGAAAAATGTAATGCTAGACTTTGTATCACAGATAAAAAAAATGTTTTGTGTCATTTCATAAGTAAGTAAGTTATATCTTAAAACATAAACATGAATGGTCAATGTGACCATATTGGTAACATTATCAAACTTTTTTATTTGCAATATATTTGTTATAAATATAAATATATTTGTAATAAATAAATAAATGTTTTTACGTTATTTTGTCCATTTTAACACCCCATTCAAACTTGTCATTTAAGATATACGCCTTTGCCCGATAAAGGGTTAAGTGGGAACTTTGTTTGAAGATCCTTCCTTTGGCAGGAGTGTGAATGAAGACAGACTTAGAGAAAAAGGTTGCATATTCTGGTGTAGAATGTCAAAAATTGTTTCCTTTTTAGCAGCAGAAAACGTTTCTTCATTTTTGTCTTGGAACAATAAAATTTAACAAATTATTAACAAATTCTAATTGTTTTTTTATTTTTAGTACCTCCTCCGAAGTTTTACGTCCAACTTAATCCAATTTCTGTGATGTTTGACGTGGATACCTGTTTGTGGATTAACTCTTTTGGATTGAATCTCTTCCAGTCGTTAACTAGTGCCAAAAGTGAAGTACCAGTATCGACTTATACGTACATGGATATTAAAATTGAAGCAATTCTTCCAAGAGTAAGCATCTCATGATAAGTAAACATAGCAAATACTCTACAACGATTACAACACTCTTAAAAATTGTTTTAATAAATAATTATTTAATATTTTTTATTTCGCATTCCAGATAAATTTTGAAAGTCCATTAGAGCATCCTAATCAAAAGGATAGACCCAAATGTTTGAGTTTCCAAGTGACGAGAGCAACCATAACTAATATCAGAAGTTTGGAACAATCTTCCAGAGCCGACTTGGCAAAGTGCGTGGATTCTTTCCATATGGGCTCATTATTTTTCGGATCGGAATTTCCATCCCAACAGAACGATTTTTATGTAGTGACTCAGAAGTTTATCGATCACATATCAACTGTGGATAATATTAGAAATATGCCTTCACAAATCGACTCCTCGATTTCGGACGATTGGGTAAGTCTTCAAATTTGAAGTTTAGCAAATGTGTTTATTATAATATCGTACTGATTTGGTTATATTTTTATATTTAAATACCTAAATTCACTGGAGTTTTTAATAAGTATCTTCTGATACTGGTCTTTACAACACATCCCTTACACCCCCTTTCATGCTTAGTTATCTGATTTCTTCCATTCTTTTTCCATATATACCTTCAATAAAATAAGCAAATAATAATGTTATGTTAAATATTTAAAAATTATAATTGAATATTTTAGATGGCGAATTTTAGTAGAGAAATGTTGTGGACCGATGCCAAAGATGTATGGTGCATAAGTCTCGATCCTGTTTGGGCTGATTTTAATGGTGCCAGAGCCATAGGAATTGCTAAATCGGTTCCATTTTTGGACGCTTTGCCGGTTACCATTTGGTTACATACTCACATGGATCCCAATTCAACTGTCAAACCAACTGGTGACTGTCAAGAAAGTTCCCAAGCGGATGCAGATATTCATGCTCTAGTTTATATCACTAATCTAGTTAGTATTCAAATCAATCATTACCAGTATTTGTTCCTGTTAAGATTAGCGGAAGATGCGGCACTTTTGGCTACTTATCTCGCTATAGATGCTGAGAGAATATTAAAGGTTTGTAGTTTTACTAATAATATATAAAATTTGGTTATATAAGTAGATAGATCCTTCTACAATGAGCAATCTTGCTACTGACTGACTTGTATATTAATATTTCGGTGATTAGGATCTATTTAGTTATGTATCTCTGTAAAATTCTAGATAATTACTCTTTATTCTTTCTTCTCTTTCTTAGTTATACAACCGATTTTGTATTTTTAGGTTGAAAGCAATAGTACCATAGCAATGGGCGTACTCATACCTCAATTGGAAGTAACATTTGTAATGCCATCGAATTCTCCCGGAAAAGAATCGTCAGGAGGTGACATTGAGTCAGTTGTACCAGACACGTCAAGTTTAGCAGATGATATTTTTATCGGTAAGTGTAAATGTTTTAATTTTATACGCAACTGAATAAACTACGAGATATAATTGATATATTACTAAGCCATATTTAGACTAACTGATTAAATAACAAAAATCCTGATGGATACAAAAAATATTATATTGTCTTATAGTGTCTTATTGTCTTATAGTCACTTCATCTTTGTTTAGCTCTGATTGTAGCGATCTTCCCGCATGCGAAATTTCCGCATTTTTTCTTGGTGATTAAAACCGACACATATTTCCAGCTCTTCACAAGTCTTGGGGAAAGAGTAGCAACCCACTATCTTTGAAGGATATGATCCTTTCGGAGGCCAATTTCTCGGTCGATCACTTCGATCATGCTTCTCACGACCTTTAAATCCACGTTTTTCAACCCAAGGCATATATTTATAGTTGTATTCAATGCTACAGGAACACTTCTACCAAAGTTCTTCTACTCACTTTGATAGTAGTCTGTTTTAATTTCACGACTCCTAGGAACGAAGTCTCGTTCTTAGGAGAGCTCTTTCGAGCAATTTACCATTAAAAACTTATTCACTGATCTGACTTTCCTATTAAACAGTGGCAATTTAAATCTCATATGATTTGTCGATTCTTCTTTTGTCTATTCTTCTTTCACTATTGGACCTGGATTTACTGAGTCTATTTCTAGCTCTTCTTGGTAATAGATCTGTCGTTGGGACATCACGTGTTATCATAATTTGTGTGTTTAATTTTGTCTTCTAGATTGTCTACAGTCGCAGTCAAACGAATAGTCTTTTCTTCTTTTATCTTTCAGACTTTCCTATTAAACAGTGGCAATTTAAATCTCATATGATTTGTCGATTCTTCTTTTGTCTATTCTTCTTTCAATATTGGACCTGGATTTACTATTTTTAGCTTTTCTTTAGAAAGATTTAGTAAGTATTCAAATTACGAACAAGTTTTTAAATAAATTATCTGATGTATTGAATCATATTTGAACAAAAATGATTCTCATTTTTTTGCTGAACGGTTATCTCGTTACATGAATAGGATTATATCAATTTTTATAACTTTATGTTGAAATTTTTGGATCAAAGTAAACATAACTTATCTTTAGTAAACACGTTTATTCCTTTAAGTTTGTGTTGTCTGTTTGTACATTTTAACATTTCTTCCTCTTGCAGTGTCTTATCCTCATTGGATATTGGCAATCACTCTAGTCTACAAAATCTTATTCACAGTTTTCCTAAACAATTTCAACGAAGTTTTTCCGTATTTCAACGAAGTATTTCAAGTCAAGAGATTCGTCGTCTACCTGGCTCATTTTCCATTTACTTTACCCTGAGAGCTCTTTCGAGCAATTTACCATTAAAAACTTATTCACTGATCTGACTTTCCTATTAAACAGTGGCAATTTAAATCTCATATGATTTGTCGATTCTTCTTTTGTCTATTCTTCTTTCACTATTGGACCTGGATTTACTGAGTCTATTTCTAGCTCTTCTTGATAATAGATCTGTCGTTGGGACATCACGTGTTATCATAATTTGTGTGTTTAATTTTGTCTTCTAGATTGTCTACAGTCGCAGTCAAACGAATAGTCTTTTCTTCTTTTATCTTTCAGACTTTCCTATTAAACAGTGGCAATTTAAATCTCATACGATTTGTCGATTCTTCTTTTGTCTATTCTTCTTTCAATATTGGACCTGGATTTACTATTTTTAGCTTTTCTTGGTGATAGATCTATCGTTGGGACATCACGTGTTATCATAAATTGTGTGTTTAATTTTGTCTTCTAGATTGTTCTAGATTGTCTACATTTTTTTTTATTTTTTCGTTCATTTTAGAAGTTTCTTCGATAATTTTATAAACCTCTACAAATTTTTGGGAAATATTTCAAAATTTCATGATGTGTGTAGAGACTTAATTTCTTCACACTTTTTCCAATTTTTCGTCATTGTTTCTAGAAATGTCTGGAGACCAATGTGCCTGGGCAGAGTTGTAGCTGCTGCTTTACAGCTCCTGATTGTGGCGTAGTTTAAAACATTAATTTTTATGGAATTATCAAAAAAATTAAATATTTTTATTTTTCAACAAGTCTCTTCAATCATTTGGAACATTTAATTTAATAAAATGTCTTTCCTATATCATAACTTTTATAAAAATAACAATATATAATTTTTCATCGAGGAATAAAATTTTCGTAACTTTTCCTGATTTTAGGCTCAAACCCTTCGGTGTGGCAGAACAGTTCCTTGTCCATAACTCAAATTGGTGTTAGCAAGAAACCCATAGCAAACGGATCTTCAAATCAACTAGACTTACCTACTAGTAATTCTTCTGATTATCTTCAGACGAGTCCGAATAGAATCAGTCACGAAGATCACAGTTTTTTACTTCAGCAGAAAGGAAACTTGAATTTACAAACGAACCTCAACATGGGTAATATATTAATTATAGTAGTAAGTACATTTTTATCATTGACATTTTATTATTAGGTTTTACTTCCCTTAAAAAAGGTTTTACTAGTCTCAAGTCGTCTATCGACAGTGCCCTTAAAGCTAGTCCCGATGACCTCAGTGATACGATGTCGATCAGAAGTGACGCGTCGAGTGATTCAGAAAAATTTGTCCATATTAATTGTGATTTAGATATTGCTGGTGCCGAGATAATTTTCATAGTAGTAGAATTCTCAGAGCGAGTGGAGGAAGCGTCGGAAGTGTTAGAAGAAGATAATACTGTTACAAGTACCAGCGAACATTCTGTGACAAGTACCAGTCGTAGGAAAGATTTAGTAAGTATTCAAATTACGAAGTTTTTAAATAAATTATCTGATGTATTGAATCATATTTGAACAAAAATGAATCTCATTTTTTGCTGAACTGTTATCTCGTTACATGAATAGGATTATATCACTTTATGTTGAAATTTTTGGATCAAAGTAAACATAACTTATCTTTAGTAAACACGTTTATTCCTTTAAATTTGTGTTGTCTGTTTGTACATTTTAACATTTCTTCCTCTTGCAGTGTCTTATCCTCATTGGATATTGGCAATCACTCTAGTCTATAAAATCTTATTCACAGTTTTCCTAAACAATTTCAACGAAGTTTTTCCGATCCACTATTTCAAGTCAAGAAATTCGTCGTCTACCTGGCTCATTTTCCATTTACTTTACCCTGCATAATAAGTTAAAGATTGTGCTATGACCGAAGTATGACAATTTAACTGGTCGCAGGCCTATGAGACAAATTAGTTAAACTTCCCTTGCTCGAATCGGTATCACTAAAGTGTTATGATCATTTCGGCCTATCCCAGCCATCGTCAGACACTTGGGCTGATACAAATTCAAACTCGGAAAGTAAAACGAATGTCTCCCAGAACTTCACTACAGCGTAGTTAGCTTACAAAGGCGCCCCCTGCTTTGGTGGCCGTGAACGAAACGATATAATATCGTTTTCTGTATCCTTTGTGCTATGCGAATTGTGTAAAGATTAAATCTTTTAGCGAAAGCCTCTATTGCTCTCGTAATTTATTAAATAATAAATTTAAATAATAATAAATATAAATAATAATAAAAAATAAATTTAAAATAGTAAGTTTAACGAATTTGTCTAAGCGATAGCGGCTTTCGCTAAAAGATTTAATCTTTACACAATTCGCATAGCACAAAGGATACAGGAAACGATATTATCATATCGTTTCGTTCAGGGCTCCCAAAAGCATTGGGCGCCTTTGTAAGCTAACTGCGCTGTAGTGAAGTTCTGGGAGGCATTCGTTTTACTTTCCGAGTTTGAATAAAAAGATAAAAACTTATAGTGCATACCTGAAACTAAACCATACTGCACTAACTTAATCTTTATTTCTTGTTTTATATTTTGTTGCTGGTATTACTACATAGGTACTATAATCTACTTCATACTATTTTATTTACTGAATACTATTAATAAAACTAATGCCAGGCATTTCTGGCAACTGCTTTCTAGTTAACCACAAAAATAGCTGACTCACGTTTTTGACTTATGTCTCTAATATTTGTTTTTATTTTTAGGTGTCTGTGTCAACATTTAAACTTAATAAAATAGAATTCGTATATCAGTCTTTAGGTTTCCAATCTTCGCTAAAGATACAACTCACCAACTTAATGTGTGATGATTGTTCTTGTATTTCTTGGGATGAACTGCAGGTAAGCAAATTAGCAAATAAATTTTTAAATTACAACTCAAAAAGGAGATATATTAAAGAACCGTTTTCAATGCTCTTCTTTCCTAGATTGTTGCCGCTTCTTGGCCCTTTGCTGTCATTGCTCCATTGAAATCGTTACGTCAACATTTTTTTTCTCACGGAAAATCCATTCTAATGGTCTCTCTATGTGTCCTAATAATGTAACTGTCTTGTCTCGATCTTATTGCCTGTATATATTGATACAAGTATGCTATTTAGGGTGGCAATGAATAAAATTAAGATAGCTATGATGTAACCAAAGTTCTGAAAGGACATGGTTCACGAAGAAGAATTACCTATATTACGATCTACCTTCATTTTTTTTCAGTCTTTTGTTTAAAATTTTTTTATTATTTTTTCGTTGTACCCATCAATTAATCAATCAATTAGTTTATAACGTTCTACGCCGTCTTCTGATTTCCAGTCTCCATTTTTCTCGGTCGTTCCAAAGGTTTACTTCAACTCCTCTCTCCTTTAAGTCTTTATCGATTCCTTCTCTCGGTCTACCTTGCTTTCTTCTTCCATGCGGTGTCCAGTTCAATACTTTCTTTGGTATTTTGTGTTCATCCATTCTTTGTACGTGTCCATACCATCTTAGTTGATTTATTCTGATGTCTTTTCTTATATTGTGCTTAACACCCATAATTTCTCGTAGTTTTTCGTTTCTAACTCTGTCTAAAGAAAGCTGAGCAACTCTTTAGAATAGCTCGAGACAGAGACAGTTTCGCCATGTTAATCGCCAACGTCAAGGGGACTTGAAAGGGCACGTTAAGAAAAAGAACTCTGTCTAATCTTGATTTTCCAGCCGATCATCTCCAGAAGTCCATTTCTGTTGCATCTAATGCCTTTATGTTTTTTCCTTCCAGTGGCCTTACCTCACTTCCATATGTAAAAATGCATTTCATAATGCTGCTATAGATTTTGTGTTTGTTTTCTTTGGTTATTTATATGTTTAATTTATTCGTTCAATTTGACTTCGTTGGTTATTTGCATGCCTAAATATTTGTATTTTTGACAGTGATTTATTTCTCGCTGTATTTCTTTCAAGATTAGATTTTGTTGAATTCCCCCAATATACATGTATTCAGTTTTCTTGATATTTACTTCTAGCCTCCATAGTTTGTATTCTTCGATACGTTTACGGGTCATTTATTCGAGGTCTTCATGGTCTTGGGCCCATCACTATCTGGTCGTCTGCAAAACTCAATGTGTACAATAGTGAGTCGTTTAGAGGAATTTCCATATTTCTGCATTTTCTTTTCCACATCTTCATCGGCTGCTCCGGGTAGATGTTAAACAAAGTAGGAGACACGCAGCATCCTTGTTTGAGTTCTTTGCTGATAGTAAAACCTTTGGATGAATATTGACCTTTCTTTATTTTACTTGTGTTGTTCTTTTAGAGGTCTTGAACAGCCTTGATTAAGGTTACAATGGAAAACTTCCATTATATGTGTAAAACTATAGACATATGGACCTAATGGAATTGATTAAAATTAAACACTACAATACTATAAAACTTCTGTTATACCTTCATTTTTTTTTCTTTCAGAGTAAGTTTGGAACACGATCTCGTGTTTGGACTTGCAATCCTCCAAGTGATTTTACGTCGCCAAAAGTAAAATTGCGATTAGATCATAATTTAGTGGTTAGTAAAGCTTCACTCTCAGAAACGGATTTGACAAATAGGGATAGTTTCGCCAAACTTTTTTCGGATTTGATTACTATTCAAGTAAAGGATTTGATGTTGAATTTGAATATGAGTACTGTCACTGGGTTAGCCGATTTAGTGGAAGACGAAGTAATGCCGATTCCGTTCCCTATCAAGGTAAGTTTTTAATACACATTAAAGTAATAATATTTTAATATATTTACCATTTTTTTCCAATTTACTCTTGTAATAATGTCAATAAAGTGGTTAACGGATCAAAAGAAAAATATTGGATAAACTAGACAATATGACAATCTCATCTCAGAAAACTAAAACAATAGTAGTCAGCAAAGAACCAACCAGATGTACAATAGAAATTGGTGGCATCAGTATTGAACAAGTAATGATATACTGGAAATTATACTGTCCAGCTACAGAGACCTGGACAAAGAAGTGAGAGATCAAGTACAAAAAGCAAATAGATTGGCAGGATGCCTTAATAACACTATATGGCAAACAGACACACTAACACTAAGATATAAACGGCAGAGATGAGAATACCGAGAATAATTACAGGAAATACGCTGAGAGATCGAAAGAGAAGTGAAAACATTAGAAGAAAATGTAACGTACAGTGTATAAATGAATGAACACAAAATAGAAAAAGAATGGAATAACTCGTGTCGTCAAAATATCAAGAGATAAGTCACCAATCGGCAAAAGAAGTATCGGATGACCTTGCAAAAGATGGAGTGACAACCTCCATAGAGGTATTAATCCACCAATGAACAAGCGGAATTGCTTATAAAGAGGAACAAGAAAAAGAAATCTTATTGCTCTAATCACATTTTTTTATAAGAGGAGTGACAATTTGAAAATTTACTCCGTTAATATTTTCATTTCCCGTAAATAATCTGATACATTAGAAATACACGTCAATCTTTTTTCACATCGGAAACTTTCAGTGAGTATTTTTATCCCTAAAAGTTTATACCGCTATCAAGGGTAAATTTACTCATATCATTCTAACTGGGAAAAAGGTGGCAAACTATTTAAAAGGGCTTGTAATGTTCTTTCCAACTAATTTAATATTTTTTCTTAGAAGTTACTAAGAATAGTGCTCGAATGTGACAGAAGTAATTATAACTTTCTTGCAGTAAGTAATTCTATATACTTCTAAAAAGTATTTCTTTTTGGATTTTAGATGACTGTAGATAACGTAAAAGTCCATTTAAACGAAGATCGACCACCTGTTAATATTACTTCACCTGGACCGATACCAATAGATTTAAATGTTACTCATATGTATATAACTCGAACGGAAGATGGCGTGTTTAACCTGTTTCCATGTAGCAAATCAAAAACCAATAGTACTAATGGTAAGTGAAGTTTATTATTAAACAGACAACATATTGTCATGATAACTAAACATATTAGAATGAAATGGGACGCTAAGGCTTTGAAAAGACAGAGATGTTCTTTGTTACAGAATATTTTTTTATATGTTACATATTTATAAGAATTTTATTTAAGCAATTTTTATGAAAATGTTTCTTAAATTCAAATTTTTCCCTATAGTGCACCGATTTATGTTATTAATGTTGTAGGTAAATCAGAAAAGAAAGAGTTAGTGAAAGTAGATAGTGTGTCTCTAAATAACGACGACCTGAGAAGACTGATGACATTCGAAAGAATATCCGAAGAGAATCGCCTTCTACGAAAAACAAAGGAAGAAAGTGATAAAGAAAAAGATGTTTTACGAGAATACCTGAAAAAGTCGCAGGACGAAGTAACGCGACTGTTAAACGAAAAACAGAATTTATTAGACGAAATAAGACGTTTGCAGCACCACTGGAATAGTTCTAAAAGATAGCAATGTTGTTTTGATTGTACAAAGTGTTTTTGTAAGGATAATCCCTCTACTACTCAGTAGTTTTGTGTAGCAGACTGCTAAAATTGGCTGGATTAATCAAAAATGACGTTTAAGTCAGGTTATTGAGATGCTGGTGATTGAATTTTAAGCTTTTAAAAGAAACATATGAGTTTTATATTCCTTTTAGTACAATACGATTTTAGAATACATTAACAGTTAGCCACGAAATCAAACTTTTTAAGCAATGTAATACCTTGTTACCCTCGTCAAAATTTGTTAAGTAACGCATGCTTACGCAATATATGTTCCAACGAAATAAAATTACCTTTTCAGAACTATCGAAAAAAAGTGCGACCTACCCTCTTGTCCCTTTCGATTTTTTAACTCTCCCTTTTTTAATAAATTAACAGATTTAAATTAAATACAGGTAAAATAAGATTTTGTGTTTGCAAAGATAAACATTTTATGCCTTTCTATATTGCTTAAAAAGCTCTAAAAAAGCACAATACCTAAAAGTGCACAATACAAGGAACCTATAATCAAGAATGCTTAATTGCTTCATATTTATATTACATGTGATCAGTGTCTTCTGCTTTATGTTATATGTGGTATGCAATATGGAAGAGCATTTAATGTTAAGGTTTAAATATTTATCAATAATAGTATGTACTTATAGAAGATAAAGTCAAAATGTAATATTAAAACTCATTTGTTGACTTGAAACGCTTAAAACAAATCGAAATACTTGCACCAGGGAGAGAGAGCTGCTAATCGAATTATACTTTTTTTTTGCATATCAATAAACAAACTTTTCGTCGGTCCCTTTTAATACAAAAGTCAAATTGATATTTTCGATATGTTTGTGTTGACTATTTTGAAATGTCTAATTAAGTGTATTTTTAGTTTGACTGGTGGTTAATTACCATTAAATATAGTAGATAATCCTGAAAACGTTCTCTTGAAAATTCGTTACTCTCAATATTTCTCTTGGTATAAAAGAGATTGATATTAAATTTTTGTTCAAACGATCTTTTTCTTATCATAATCTATTAAATTATTATAAATACTGTCAACTGTCAGAAGGTCTACAAAGTTTTGTTGCAGCCATCGATATAATATACTAAGGATGGAGCCTATGAATAAATACTTGCGTCCAAAGTAGCGACTAACAATAGCAGATCTTGTTTCCGGAATATCAGTAGTGTACGAAAAAATTTTTTTTGGTACATATATATCGTCGGCTGCATGCAATAGTGGCACAAAACAAATATTGGTAATTTTTCAAAACAGGGGTTTAAAGTTTGTATGCCAATCATATTGTCTTATTTGTTTTACTACATGGATTGGGATTTCTGAAAAAAAAGTCAATATCCATAAAACTGTGGCCAACCTCAGGGAACTTATGGCCAATAATTTTAAAAGTCCCTTGGCGTGACTAGGTAATGCCATAAACAATCTATAAAAAAGTTCTTATTTTGTCCACCTGCAGAATCGCTCCAGGCTACTAAATGAATATTTTCAATATTAATGTTTTGAAAGAACGATAAAATACTACTTCCCACTTCTTCTGGACCTTTACCACCTTTGTCCTCAGTCCAGAGGTGAAAAAACCCATTACCAAAACTATCACCTTTACTTACACAATGAATACCCAAATTATATAGCCACACTTGTCTAAGATAAAAGGCAACACTGGTAGACAGCTTTGGTAAAGGCAATGTTTTTTGCATATCAAAATTTATGTACACAATGGTACCCTCATTTGCCAAATTTCTGTCTTTTTTCTGTTCTTCAAATGCTGCTTTGTAGCGCCTAACGTGTTCGTCATTATTTTTAGAGTCACAAACCTTGCAGGTATCTGATTTTGGAGATCCAAAACCAAAGTTAAATTCGGAAACAAAAATTTGTCTGTATCGACTGTTTTTGACAAATTGCAGATTTTGTTCAGAACACTGGTTCTTATATAGTTCATACATTTTGTTTACTGACAGCATAGGCGATAAGTACAGACGATGTTCATTTTTATTTCTCGAATAATGTGACATTTCTGCAGGAAACGATTTAATATGTTGACGAATTATGTCAAGCTGCTCGTTGGGTGTTTGATTTTTGCGGGTCATATGGCGACTCTTTTGATCTTTACTTGGGATAGCTTGTCCCTGAGAAATTTGATTACGAATTCGCTCTATTTTCTTTTTTCCGACATTAAATAATTTTAAAAATGCACTTTTGCACACTTTTTTTGATTGTCCATCTAAAGTTACAAAATATTTGAACGATTTTTGGCGAACAGCATTTGTACAACTTGGTTGTTTAACATCAAATGGTTTAAGGCAACCAAAGAGGTAGACGTTTTTTTCATCAATGGTAGGCAGTGAATAGTATTTATTAAATAAAGTATTTCGAATAATTGCATTTTAGTCTGCATTTTGCTGTGCACAGTGGTATTCCAACTGCAGACGATTTTTTGGGACGTGTCTATTTTTATAGTCAGTATATGCTTCTCCTTTTTCTCTCTTTAACATATTTATGTTTCTTTTCCAATTTTGTGGGCGAGCTTTACGCTTCCTTCATTTTTTACCACTTATTAGCCGTTGGTTGACATTAACCTCAGGAATATTTACATTTTCTTCTCCCATAATGCCTAAAAAAATAAACATTTATCTAGCAGAAAAACAAGTTTTCTGACCAAAATAATGTCAAACTTCGCTTATTTTTATTATCAAGTAGGTACCATACAATTTGCTTAAGTCTTACCAGTAATCTGTTGTTCTTCTACCTCTTCGGTTATAGTATTTTTTGGTTCATTTTCAATCATATGAATAGGATCATTTAGGTCAATAACATATTGTGTTTGTTCTTCTACTACTTCGATTTTATTATTTTTTTGGTTCATTTTCAATCATATGAATAGGGTCGTTTACGTCAATAAAATTTTGTGTTTGCTTTTTCTTTTGTTCTAAAAATACAAAAATTTTTACTTACCAAAATATAGAACATTGTGACTTCTAAAGAAAACATTGAATTGTGTAGAAATACATGAGACAAAAATAAGATTATTATTATATTTTCGTGAATAAAAAGAATATTTTGATTATTTATTATGTTATATTTTCTAGGGATGAAAAGCAATGTTTTGTTTTAAATCAAGACAATCATTCAATCATTTTATACTGTGTACTTTCTGGTTTTCTAAAGCGAACATATTATCTACATATTTACTAAAATACCATAGTAATACGACCAGGTCGTATTACACCTTGCTTTTGGTTTTTAAAAACCGTACGTGCATTTTGATTTGATATTTTATTACCTTGTTTTCCTTTCTTAACAACGGATCGTTTTCTCTTTCTATTTAAAATTTTAGAACTTTCTTCGTCTGAGGGGAAATTATATTCTGGGGTGTAATCTGATCCAGAATCTAAAAATGGGTCCTCTTCGCTTTGTGTTTCCTGGTCACTAATTTTAGCAGCATCCATAGCTAGCTTCATAATAATATTAGTTCTTGTATGTTCACCCATTATAGAGTATTTTCAAAGCTGAAATTTAAAATCCTAGCATTATTTACACAGTTTCAGAGTATTTTTTCATTTTGAGGTTATGTATAAAAGTAAAAAGTAGTGTTTTTTTTATAAGTTTAGCGATAATATTAAGTAAATAATGTGAAAGGAGTACTTACTGTTTTTGCCCAACACAATAAATACAAAATTCACTTTCAATTCACAGCAATACAGCACCGCCAAAAAACACGTGCATAATATAAACAAACTAATGTATACTGAATACAGCAAGTTAACCCCTTCTCGTACAACTATCAAGAGTTGACACCTTCTTGCTCGGACTACTTAGACAAAGCTTGAATTGACGTGTTTTCAACATTGGTTTTTAGGGTCTCTAGCGACATCTATGCACCAAAGTCTTTACTAAGCAAGAAAATAAGTTAACACTTTCATGCATACCATTTTTGGCATTTTTGAAAAAACTGAGTTAACATCTTCATGCACTAATAGCTTCAATTTATCTCAACCGTCAACATGTCATAGCGACACTAGTGACGTCTAGCGGACATTTTTGCTGTTATTATTCTGCCAGTTTTGCAGGTCATAAATAAGGCTTTTTCAAGCCCTTTGGTGATGTTAACCCACCAAAATTCACTCATTCAAAATTTCAATTTTGAAAATTTTTGAGTTAAGCCTATTGTATACAGCTGACGAGATGTACAATAATTATTTATTTTCGTTGTTATTTACATTTAAACTAAAGATACAATGACGTGTAAAATTTAATTGGAATCATGCTCTACACTATTATCATAGAAATGCGATATAAGTTCTATTTGTAATATATTTTCATAAGAAAACGTTACATTTCAAAAGCTTCCACTATATTTTTAAATAATTTTAAACTGTTTGTCCTTGTTTAGTGTAGTGTTATGTTCAATTGTATGTTTAATTCTAAGTTTATGACATTCTGTAATTATTGGATAGCCCAAAATTTGATGAAATGCCCCTGAAGATTTTTTAGAAAGCGAAAGTACTTGGGCAAGATTTAATTAATAAAACAGTGCTCGACGTCTGGTTTTCATTTTATCAAAGTTCATTTAGTCGAACATTCAACCTTATATCAATTTATTGTAGGAATTGTTAATCATACCTTCTTTTTGGAGATTAATTGTTATTATTATTTGTATACTCAAAAAGGTGTTAAAAAGTTAAAAACAGATCTTTAGAAAAAACACCATTGCCACATTTCGTGTACATATTTTTCCATTTTCAAAGGGATTATTTTATTTTTCGTATAAATGCTGCATTTTTTATATTTAGTGTTATTTGAAATTGTGTGAATAATTTTAGTTTTGGATCTGTTTATAGTAAGTATGTACTTATGTGTATATTAATTTAGTTTGAAAATGCAGTAACTTGGAATCAATTTGCCTAAATTTGGCACAATTAAGAGATATAAACTACAAATCAGCGCATTAAAAAAACAATTAAAATCATATAAATCCTGTATATCATAAAAACAGTACATATCTATAAAAAATGTGTTTAATACTTGTGAATAAAAATATATCAAACGATATTCACAACAAAATCTTACCACAGGAATGGAACCGGCGAAGAATGACTAACTAATCTTATTTTTCTTCAGTTTACTCCTCACCATCAGCTAATAATAAAAGCTTTTGCTTCAAAAATAAATTTTATGTTCGGCGTGATCTTATTTGATTATTTTAATCACATTGGAATATATTTTTTATTGACGTTGACAATATTTTTGATTGGTCCAGCCATGTTTTATATTAGTACTAGACTGTTTTGTTTAGGTAATTTTTTACGAAATAATTATTTTGAGACTTGTTTACAATTTAAGTTTCCAGGGTGCACATAATTTGCATGAAGGGAGCTATGCTAAGCAATATCTTCAACAATTGGTGCCTGTTTGTAATATAGTGTAAATAAAATTTATATTTTATAGAGAATTATAAGTTATTAGGATCATTTTTCTCTCTAAATTTGTTAGAAGTAGTGAGATGCAGTGATTTAAATTGAGGGGTGTGTTTTTTATTTTGAGGTTAAGATTTCGAATAAGAGAAGTCTACATTAAATATTTTCTTAAAAACTTAATTTTCAAATAGTTATTTCTGTTTATTAGAGATCAGTACAGATACCTCATAATACACTAGACTATCATATTAAATTGTATTACGGTATTTACTGCTCTTATACTAATTTTTATATTTTTTTATTTAGTTTGAGTAACACAATGATACAGCTTTCTTTACAAATTGCTTTTTCCTTTGTTTAAGTCCTTTTTACGAGTTACTGGAATAGGTAATACTTGTTTTTCTCCTTTTTGTGTAGACATGACTATTTTTTAATGTGCCTCCAATAAGTTGTCGATCCATCGTTTTCATGGTCTTCCCACAGCAGCAACCGATTTGAAAACCGTATTGTACGTCTTTACTACTCTATTTGTGGTCATATATTGATCGTTCCATTATACTCATCTAGCTCTGTGTAAATATTCCCGACCTTGTCTCGCAGCAGGGTGATAAGGTAATTATTGTCGCAGACGTTGCGATCAGCTGGGAGGTCCTGTCGCTGTACACAGAGCCTCGATTTCTTCAGACCATGCAAACCCGATATCCTGGAAAAAATATTTGCATGGCACATCTAATCGTTGGAGCTCGCTGAATATGGTGTCAGTCAAATTCTCGTATCCTGAGAATTTTTAACCTATCAGGGTTCGACGTCCTTGGCTATACAAGGTAGCATTCATATTCATAGAAATTTGATAAGGTTTAGCATAAGTGACTTATGGCTTATTTACTTCGAGTGCAAGTACCGGCTTCTTCCTATCACGGGATCTACGTTTTTCTATTTAGGGTATTTCAACACTTTGATACATAATAAGTAGATGTTTGTGACTGTTGTTTTTATGTTCTGTGAATGTCCCATTTTTCTACATTTTTATATATATTACTACTTTTTCTGTCGCAATTTTGTGAGCCCACGACCTTTGGCGTGCGATGCTGGTAATGGCAGGGGGGATGGTGGATCTCGCGCGATCATTAATACTGGTGAAATACCGCACCATGAAGGGCCATACGCTACTGGTCTATTACTTTCGGGGTCCGAACGGAGAGGAACAGACCAGTAGGACAAGGCCGGTTTTCAAATGACGGGAATTTGGATACATGATGAATCTAACCGACATTGCCCGGTCTACATATCAAAAGAGGTTATGGCTTCACTTCTTTTAGTTCTCTTTGTGCTAGGTCGTGTATCTGCCACATATGCCATTATTGATCTGATGACTGTTTTGTAAATTCAGCCTTTCACTTCTTTCCACATATTTTTATTTCTACATATTGTTTCATTCAGGCATTATGTGTACTACAATACTGCTATGTCATGTGTTTTTCATAATTTAGTCTTTAGGACTACTGCTTGCGGCATAATTAGACCCAATTCCAAATAAAAAAAGAAAACCCAGAAGATTTAGACGAAATTACTTTATCACTACAACATTGAACTTAAACCTGTAAACGCAGTACTTAGTGAATGTTATACTAGTCAAAAGCCCAAAAAGCAGATTCATGTTAATCAATCTAAACTTAGGCAACCAACTTTATGATAGTGTAATGGGTTTTGCTTTATAATATTTCTGTACATTTCATTATTCTTTGTATTAAGAGTATTTTATCATTTTATATTTAACTCAATTATATAAAATGTATTACTAAATATCACCAGAGCTTTAGAAGATAATAAAACAGTCATTAACCTTACATTTTCATTATTAAATAATTCCCTACATTCTCTACTATTTTGACAATACGTCAACATCGCAACGGTGTATTTTCTGTAACTTCTCTTATTCTTTTTTATATAGTGATGGTTATGTGATGCCCTTTTGATATATATTTTTTATTGTCAATGTTAGTGTTTAAATTTATTGCTTATATGGAACAAATGTGAACCAAGATCTGCTTTCTATTGACTAATTTGATATCTCTGTGCGGAAATTCTAAAATAAATTTTTATTTTACCTGTCCAATGTAAAAAATTACCTTGTTATTATTATTTTTTTATATTCTTTTATGAGATGTAATATATATAAATTTATTATAAAATTTATCTAGAATCTTAAGCTTAGAGTGATGACATTTTGAATTGAAATAAATATTGTTAAACTGTATATTGTTTTGTGTTTTTTTAAGTTCCATTTAAAAAAAATGTAATGGCTAATTCTGTGTATCTATGAATAAATGATTTATTGGATTAATGAAAAAATTGATTGAGAACAGAAAACGAAAATGAAATTTTGTGTTTCTGTAATGCTGTTAACGGCAATATGTAGGTATCACTATTGCCCTAAGGTTAAATGTGTTTGGTATACAAGGTGATAAAAGTAAGTATGTAATTAGTTGGACAGTTTCAAGAAACGATGTTTAACACTTTCATTACTACGTGTACCAAAATTGAAACACACTTGACTTTTAATAGACTATATGTCCATATAGGGTCACAAGTTTTGGCTAGTTCTAACACAAGTATACATTAGACAGTAATACTTTCCATTAAAATATATGTGTAGGTCAAATGCTTTAGACTATAACTAAAAGCTGGCCACCTACTTTAGCTATACAATTGTAGATGACGCCACAATTTACAAAATTTAGTATTAGGGGAGACTGGAGAGGGTTGAGCCAGTGGGATAAATTTAATTTTCCGTTTACTGGATGTATACTCATTGCTTCTTTGTCGTTATATCGAAGTCGAAGTTAAAACAGTTTTAAATAAGATAATCAAATTGTGATCACTTAACTTCTTGGCAACAAGCCAACTTATAAGTAAATTACTATTTAACTGGGAATAAGCCACAATTAAAGATAAAAATACGTTTATTGACGTTTCAATTTCCACTTCGGAAAGCGTTCTCAAATACAAACATTAAATTAAACAAATTTTGTTTTTTGTTACATAGTGAAAAATTCTTCTAATAATTTAATTTTATCTGACTCATTTATATTGACAATTCAGACATACATTATGCATTTTAAAGTAGACGACTTTAAAATCATATTGCCAATATTGTTGAGTTGCGCTCCTGGGACCACTTTACTTATAAGATAGTTCATTCGATTACATGAAATTAACTTTAACTTGAGAATATCAGAAAAAATCATAGCATGTAATTCGTCTTTAAAAAGACAAACACATGACATGATGACAGTAAAATTCTCCTGTTAGTGATTCCATAGTAAATTATGAGGGAAAAAACCAGAAAAAAACCTCATAATACTATCCCGATATGGTAAGTATTTGTTCGTGCATTTCGTTTACCTTCAATAAACACCAAAATTCTGATTTTATATGTTTCGTTATTTAAAAAACATAAATGATGTATCCTCTATATGTTACTGACTTACTAATACTGGTATTTTCTTATTAATAACTTCCTCTTTCAATATTGGTAACCAGATCCTACTACATTCTGCCGAGGAATTTGCGACACAATTGGCCTCATTTAGCATAATTAGAGCCGCTTCTTTGATTTTTCTTTTTTTACCATCCGTTTATTTTAGGACTACATTTGAATTATTGTATACTGTAGGAACTCGTTCTAAGTTGTTCTGTTCTATTCGATCGATTGTTGAAAATTCCTTATTTATAAACGATAAAGGATAATCATTTTTTAATAAAACAGATGTTAACAAATGTTTCTCCTCCAAGAACGAATTTTCGTTTAGAACAAGTAATTTTGGCTCTATCGTATAAGGATTTAATTATTCCCTTTTTTACATTAATATTGTGATTTGATTTGAAATTTAAATATCTATTGGTGTATGTTGGTTTTCTATACACTTCATATCTCTATATCTATATCATATATCTATGTCTGGAGTCTCATATCCAGTATCGTTCTTAGAGATTAAAACATCCAGGAAAGGTAGCGTGTTAACATATTCCTTTTCCATGGTAAATGTTATGTTTATTAAAAAACAAAGTTTGTTTAATTTACTGTTTGTATTTTGAGAACGATTTCCGAAGTAGAAATTGAAACGTCAATAAACGTATTTTTATCTTTAATTGTGGCTTATTCCCAGTTAAATAGTAATTAATTTAAAATGCCACAAGAAAATAGCTTCAGAACAACTTATAAGTAAGTAAACATGTTAATATAAATGCCAGAAAATCCACTTGTAAGCTCTACAAGTTTACTCTAGAGCTTTATTATACTCTGAGCGGCAAACAAAGTGGCCACCCTATAAGTTTCCGAAATTAAAATTCATTAGACGTTATATGTACGGTTTCATATTGCATCTCAAATTAAATATTTTCTGCGATCTTGTACGCTTAGAGAATGCCGAAAGAACGGGTAGAAGACGCCTCAATAAAAGAGGGCTAGTGACAAGAAGGCAGGCTATTGTTCCTGAATTACAAACCACACAGTGTAGGAATCGATTTATTTTTTTCTCGAAAATATTAACACTGGGATATACAGAATTTTAGCTAAATTCTCTTTACTGATGATTCGTGGTTATATTTGAAGTATGTCTGTGAAGAGCTTCTGGTTTGAAGATGGCCCAGGTAGGGTTTGGAGGAGGCGAAATAAAAGATATGCCTAACCTTGTATGTCCCAAAGAAGAAAGTTTGGCGGTGGTGATGTCATCGTTTGGGCTGGAATCTCACTTGAAGCTCGAACCGAACTTATTTTCATCAATGGCCCCCTGAATACTCACTGGTATATGGAGGATGTTTTGGCAGAAGCTGTAGTTTCATTTGGTTTTTTTATTGTGGACAATTTCGTCTTTTTGCATGATAATACACGGCCGCATACTACAAGAATTTTGACATATTACTTGGGGAAAGTTGGAATTATGACTCTAGAACGGCTAGTCTGCAGCCCCGATCTGAATATCATCGAACATATTTGGGATGAACTTCATCGTAGGGTTATAAGTCATCCAGACCAATTAGAAAGTCGTGCAGAACTTCAAAAACATGCTTCGTGAAGAATTTGAACGTATTCCTTGAGTTTTTATTCAAATTTTTTTCGTTTTCCTTCCAAATCGTAAGAAAACGGTTATTGATACCCGATATTAGAAACTTTTGTTTAAGTTTACTCGTAATTTTATTGTATGTAATTCGTTTTGATATCGCACTATTTTCTTTTGTAGCCTTCTTATCAAATAAATTTTGCTAAGAAATCAAACAGTAATGGCCATTTTTTGTTTTAAAAATAAAAGATGTTGAGAATACAATATTTAACAGAGCATAAAACTTCTAATAAATTTTTATTTTCGGAAATTTATAAAGTGGTCACTTTTTTTGCCGGTCAGTGTATTTTCCAGGCAAATATTCACTTCAGACACATCAGTGAAATCAGTGACAATGTAAGAATAATACTCAATTATAACGTAAAAAGTTAATACAAACATATCTTTCTTAATCTTCTCTGGAAGTAATCTGTTATACACCAGTCGTACTACACCACCCAATGGACTTATTATATATTCCATTAATTATTATATAAGTCTTCGAGACTTGAGAAAACAGAGTGAGCTGCCGTACTGTGAAGTTCACCGTGAGGATCCTCATTAGAATCATTAAGACCTATTTGGGGTGATTTGGATCATTTCTGTATAATAATTCTGTACGGTCCCGTATATCCACAGGGCGCTATCTATTAGCCACTTGGACGCCCTGCGTTGGAGATAATACTTCCACGCACAACCTGTCCTTATCCTTAATTTTTTGGGTTAAAATAAGAATAAATAAAATGCTTGTGTTAGTATTAACTATTAATTTTTATTTTTAATTATTTACATCTGCAGGAATTTCATCGAACAATATGGTTTCTCCGGCATTTGCATTTTTGTCCTTACAAAAGGATTTTATATCAGCTTGGGTACATGGTTGTTCGCAACATATTTTTGCTGTAAAAACCATAATAATTTGTTATATATGTATATATATATTATATATATATATATATATAATATATATATATATATATATATATATATATATAAACCAAACTTATAAGGAATCACCCAGTATTTCTTACTAATAATAAGAAATGTATGACAATTTTTTTGCAGATAAAAGATAAAGATTTTTGTTGGGAAATACGATTCATAATTGATAAAATTTGATCAATTACACATTGAACAATTTTATTATTTGTGTCAAGTTGTAAAACCGAGACGTCAAAGTAAAGTTAAGTTTGTGTTCAAAAAAGGTAATACGTCCTAAGTAGGTGTGTCAGATGTTTGTTGCTCTTGTTAAGCAGGGAATGTCACAAAGGCAAATTTCAGCTACGCTACATGTCTCGCAGAGCGTTGTTTCAAAAACATATGCAAGATTTTTAGAATTGGTTACACTCAAGAACAGACGTAAAGAAAGTCGTCGTAGAGTATCTAGTGATCGACAAGACCGGTTTTTAGGTCAAATAGCTAGAAGAAATCCAACCTCTTCTCATCTGGAGCTCCAAAGGCAACTTTTGCAGACTGCAGGTATTGAAATTTCAGTTGAAACAGTACGAAAGAGACTTCGTTCCCAAATTTATTTAGCAGGAGGCAGTTGAGGGTTCCCGATTTATCCAGATAGAACAGAATTGATCGGCTGAATTGGTGTCTTTAACACCAGAACTTGACAAATGAAGATTGGCAAAATGTGCTTTTTTCAGATGAAACCAGAATTGACCAGAGATCAGATGACCGTCGAATTAGGATTTTAAGAGGTCGAGACAGACAAGCAAGACTGGAAACTGCCAGATCCGTTCCAAAATATAAAGGAGGAATTGTAATGTTTTGGGGAGGTATAATTATGGGAGAAAAAACACCTTTGCATTCCTTACGGCAAAGTTTACTGGGATAATGCTTCTACACATACCAGTAGAGTTGCCACAGACTTTCTGGAAACTGAAGATGTCACTGTTCTGAGCTGGCCTGCCTGCTCACCTGATATTAATCCCATTGAGCATGTGTGGAACCTCAATAAAAGAAGGATTAGAGCTCGAAGGGATAATCCAGGTAATGCGGATCAGTTCATTCAAGCCGCTCTAGAAGAATGGGCAAACTTATCTCAAGAACAAGTTGACGATTTGACTAAAAGCATTAAAATGACTGGCTATTAAAATGAACAACACAACTGTATATTTTTTTAGTAAGCCATTGCAATGTTTTCATTTGTTTGTATTTTTTTGCACTTTTGTTAATTTCAAGCATTTGTAACATATTTTGATTTGTTTTTATAGTAACTAACTGGTTTAGTATAAAATGTAGTTTATTTTCCATTAAAAAAAAATTTAGTAATACTTTACAAAATCGGAAATACTGGGTGATTCCATATAAGTTTGGTTGTGTGTAAATACCCAGATGCAAAAAAAAAACGTAACGGAGAAAATGTTGGTCAAATTAAAAGTACTTCAATTTAATTTTTTTTTGGCACACTGTGTATAAATTTATAAATTTTAATTTGGTATAGTTAGTTTTTTGATAAAATCTTATATTTAACTTATTGTACGGGGTTAATTAAAACGTGGTTTTATTATTATAACTTTGAAAGATCTTGTGGAATAATTCCGTTTGCGAATTTTCGTATTTTTCAGTTGCAACCATGTCTCATAAGGATTGTGTTTTTTGTTCATGTCAAAATATGCCTTGGATCATTGTGTAGAGCCAAATGAATTTGCCACCCCCAATTTAGGAATTTTTAAATTATGATTATTTTGGAGATATTTTGTAATACAACGAGGTGGCTTTGCTGACTGTTATCCTAATGTCATCTTGACACTTCCATTTTGTTAACCTATGATGATTGATCATGGTTCTTAGTGTTGGAGATTGTGCGAAAGCCGTTGCTCCGGTTGAAGATGGACGAAATTATGAATATGTGGCTAGAGTACTACAAACTCATCGCTCTACCATCCAAAGGGTAGTAGAACGTTTTATACGAACTGGAACAAACAAAACTAAAGCAAGAAGTGCCAGGAAGCACAAAATACTGCCACGGCACAGAGTGGCTAGACTACGATTTCCCAGGGAACATTAACATTGGGATTTAGGACAATGGAGTAATGTTCTTTTTAGGGATTAGTCGAGATACTGTCTTCAATCATCAGTTGGAAGAGAACGAGTATGGCGTCAAACTGGAGAGAGATTTGCGTTTTCAGTCCCCGCGTTAGCCATAGAGGGAGTTCAGTGATGGTATGGGCAGGCATATCCCGAGTAGCGCACACTGAATTGATGTTTATTGAGGGTTCGTTGACTGGACACCGGCATATTGAGAAAATTTTAGCAAATCACGTAGTATCCTTTTCTCAATATATCGGCGATAATTTTCTATTAATACAAGATAATGCGCGACTCCACTCTGCAATGTGTGTCACGCAAGATTAAGAGGAAGTTGGTATTAATAAAACGAACTGACCAGCGTTTTTGCCAGATCTGAACCAAATAGACCACGTTTGGGGCACGCTTGGTAGAAATATTAGAGGTCGCGAAGTCGCACCAGCCTCAATTAACGAACTTTGCTATAGAAGATGAATGGTAAAACATCCAGCAAGATGATATTTACAACCTCATAGACAGCATGAGCCGAAGTGTACAGGCAGATATAGAGGCAAGGGGAGGTAATACAAAGTATTAAGTTATTTTTTAGCAGTTTTTCTTTGTTACTTGCGTACTTAGGTTAAGTTACATTTAAGTTGTTTTTTTATGTTTTGTTATTGTAATCATCGTTAATTAACCCCCTCTGTGGTAAGAGCGCCTACCTTTAAACCTAAAGGTCGTGAGTTCGAATCTCATCTGGGTGGAGAAATTTTCGTTTATTAAAAATTAATAAATGAAAATAATTTCTATCCTTGTGCGATCGGTACTCACCGGAGGGACCGCAGACGTTCGGATATAATTAGCGTCTCTTAGCAAAGACACTGACGTCGACTTTGCTAAGTATCAAGAGAATTACTCTACACACACACACACTACACTAGGTACCTGACTGTACCATGCCAATGATCTTAGTTGTCGAGGCATTAACTCAATAATAAAAAAAAACCAAGGTCATGACGTTGTTTTTAATCATTATTAAAATACAGTGCTTCTGGGATGTCGATATGACATTCCTTCGATATCAGTCACCAAAGTAAAACCGTTAAACGACACTGAGGTCTCAATCTGCCTACTCCTCACCGTCACTCGACACTGATTAATATCTCGACATAATACCAGATAAGAAATAGACAGGCAAATGATAAATATTGTTGTTTTTTTTCGTTATTTTTGTTCATTTTTCTAATGATTACTTCGTAAGCGTACAAAAAATTAGTTTTTCATTTTAGTTCCCTTGGAATATAAGTTTTCGGAATGCCAAAACAATCTTTAAATTCACTTATACAGAAGGACCAAAAACTGGTTAAATATTGTGAGTGAAAAATCATAAGAATACATGGAGAAATAGAAGAGCAAGGTTTGCGGCGCAAGAGTTGCAACTTTGAGTTGTATAGAAGTTTCGGGGAACGGGTACATGTAATCAGACGAGAGGAAGAGCAACAATCAAAAAGTTTTGAGCAAAGAGGGCCGATGGGACAACGAGCCAGAGAAAAATCTAAACTTTGTATCAATACAACGACGATTTAAAATCTATTGGAGTATGAAGAAGAGTTGCCAGTGACAGAGGTGAGCGGATGATTGAAGAAGACTTTTGTCGAGTTAATAGGTACTTAAGGAATATGTTTATTTTAAAAATCCCCTTGTAAATCAGCGCGTATCGAATCTCCGGCTAAGGGCTGGTGAATGCACTTAATTTTAATGACTTTCGTCTGAGAATGTAGGGTATCGAATATCATATAGTATAAGGGTATATTCAATTTGTTTAGAGTTAGATTTAGTCAAATTTATACCACCGACCGAAGGAAACTTAATAAAACTTATAAAGTCACATTTGTGTATTTTAATACGAAAGTAATTTTTGTTATAGAAATTTAATTTTGTATTTTTTCGAATTAGGAGTCTCTTGCGATAATTAATCGTAGGACATTCCAAACGTAACAACTTTGGCTCATAACGAGCTGTAATATCACTAGTGATGATGATAATGAATTGCCTGAAAAACTATATAGTGAGAACAATACCTACAATATTTTAATTTTACTAACTTATGTTTGGTAGAGATTTGACACCAGCGTCTGCGCAGACTAAACGAACAACTTGAGTTAAGTGGTCATCACAATATTTTATTGGTGGGTCATTAACTTGTCCGTCTTGAGAATTAATCTTGACGAAGATGAGTACGAACAAAAATATTTCGAATTTTAGGTTCATCTGAAAAATAATATGTATTGTTAATTGTGAATTTATATGAAATATATAAAAAGATGTATTTTTGGCGTATAAGTTCGTACAGTTTGTATTAAATTAATATACACAATTAGTGTTACATCCATTAAAATTTACAGTTATGATTTAAATGATTATAAATCTTGTCTACGTACATTGAAATAAAACATTATATCTCTTTCAAAATGAAGCTGCTTGCTTCGGAATTTACACCCAGAAATTATGCTATAGAAAGGATAGTTTATATAAAGATTAAACTAGATGTCAATATATATAGTTGTTAGTACTACCAATGATGTTGTGATCCTTAAGTCCTTAATCAGCGTGTACCATGATGATGTAGTCCTTAAGTCCTTAGTTAGCATGAGCCGATTCAAAAATATTTTAATATTTTTTTTAAATTCCATTTCTTTCAGAAAGTAGTAACTTTTACGCGACCCTGTATAGGATCTAATTCTGCTTCTTTCACTTATATATTCGAACGTTAGTTTATAATTATAAACGAAATATAAATATATAAATAACGAAATATATAAATGAAATATATATATATATATATATATATATATATATATATATTATATATATATATATATATATTATAACGAAAATATATAAATGTTTTGTGGGTTTTTAATTTTTTTGTTTATCAATGTATCATGAAATCTTAAGCTACATGACTAATTACAGTATTAATTATAAGAAATATCTCAAAATTGTACATATTGATGCAAAAAATTGTTCGATTCGAGTTTTCTTCGTTTTTTGCATTTTTTGTGAACATTTCCCATAGTAATGTATATTTTTTTACACTATCGGAAAGTAAAAATTTTAACGATCAAAAAGCCCACCGACTTTTATAAAAAAGCTGATATTTTGACGCGTGAATTTTCGATTGAAAATTAGGGTGCTTTTTCAACCAAATTAGGGTGTTTGATACATACTAAGGTAAGTTTTTACCAAATTTGGTAAACAAAATAATTTTTTTTAAAGATAAAAATCAAAAATCAAAACTTAGTTTTTTGAATTTTCCACAAAAATTTTAAGTTATGTGAAAAAAGTGTAAATACAAAAGTTGTAGATCTTTTCGTTACCTACAACTTTGCTATTTCTTCCATAGCACTTTTAGTTTCCCCGAAAATCGCGATAAAACCGATTTTTACACTTAAATCTCCCCCACCTCCCTCTTCCCGACCTCCGATGGAGTGTAATTTATTTTTTCTTCCAATTTTATCATATTCTTTTCTTTTTCCAATAGGTTTCATTCTACTATAATTTTTTATAGTTTCACAAATTATCGACCCTGGTCTATTATTTCTGAGTATTTAACTTTAGTTTATTTGTAATCTTTGTAATTTTAAGTTATTTTTGATTTACCCAAAAAATTAAAATGACAAGGATTCGCAGATCATTTAAACGACTTCGATAAAGAACGCATTGTCTTTACTAGAAATTTCATGAAAAGTTGAAACTAATCCATCAACGGTGTTAAGATTTTGAAGGAGGTTGTCCATTAGTGAGACTTATCGGCATCGTGAAGGATCTGGACGTCCTAGAATATTTGGGTTATAATTTTTCCATCTGAAACTTTTTGCTCTCAGAAATAGACAAGACAGTGTACATCAAGTAAGCGTAGTAGTCTCAAGAGGAACAGTTAATTAAAGATTACTAAGAATGGGACTGAGAGCTTACCGTCCGCTTTTGGTGTTACCTTTGACACCACAGCATAAGGCTAGACGCTTAGAGTGGTACAGAGCTCGACAAAACTGGAATGGCCAACGGAATTTTGTCTACTACAGTAATGAATGTAGCTTTTTTTGGGTGACTCTGATGGATGCATAAGATTCGAGGTTAGATACGATAAATAGACTTTGCGCTGTAGAACGTCATACGTGTATGTTTGGGAAGCAGATCACCTCCAGTTCTTATTGAAGGCAATCTGACAGCTCGACGATATATTGGTGAAGTACTGCTATTGGTTTTATATCCCTACCTACAAACCATTCCAAGTGCGATATTTCAACAGGATAACGCAATACCTCATATTGCCCGTGAAACCATGGAGTTCATACAACAATCTGGTATACAGACTTTAGAGTGGGCATCAAGATCAGCTGATTTGTCACCCATTGAACATGTGTGGGATATGGTAGATGGAAACCTAAATCGATTGTCACGTCCTCCAGCAAATTTAGTGGATCTGTGGCATGCCATAAGAAGAATCTGGATGAGTATTCCGCAATATGATATAGACCACTTAATTTGATCAATGTCCCAAAGAGTTACTGAGTATAGAAAATCAAATTTTTTGACGAAAATGAGATTGCAAATTTTGTACGAAGAAAATAAAATATCTGTAAAAACTTATAATCATTATTTCGTGCATATTAGACCCAAGTAATACAAACTTAAACTTCTAAAAACAACATAAAAAATAGTTTTATTCTTACCTTGTTGCACGCGGTGTTAAAGCAATAATAAATTTTAGGTATTTATATAAATGTTGATTGCAAATGTAGGTATACTTTAATTACTTACCTAAATTAAGTTTAGGATATAAAAAAATCTAAACAATAGCAATACATATAAAACACTCAAAAAATGACTTTAATATAACCAACAAACAATTACACACAATTCAATTAAATAATCGATAAAACAAATACGATTGATCCTCTGTTTAATGCCATTTCTGGACTAAGGCCTCTTCCATTTCCTTCCACTGACTTCTATCCTGCGCGATTTGCATTAATTGTTTACCTAATATTTCTCTTATGTCATATATCACCTCTTTTAACGGCGCCCTACTTCACTTCGTAATTTTTGGTCATCATTTTGTGATTTTCTTAGTCTACAGTGGTTCTGTGTGTCTCACTATATGATCCTACTTACTTCTATTCACTTTTGTTCTTTGAATTTTCTTGTTACAGATTCTATTTCTTAGAGAGACATAGAGCATTCGTCATTCGATAGCTCTTTGTGTTGTTTTGGCGTTGTGCAAATTTGATTGACCCGGTGGTTTTCCTTGTTTTGCATTCTGTAGAGCATGCTTTACTTCTGAGGATATAATTTGTAGGTATTGTTCTTCTTCACCTATATCTTGTTCATTTTCCTTCTCGTCATGGAACATATGGATTATATATTGTTTCCATACTTCCTTTATTTTGCTCTCTTCAGTAAGTATTCCTTCATTATTATCTCTTGTTATGAGTGTTCTTCTTTGTTTGGTGTTGCCTGTAAGCTCTTTCATTTTTTATGTAAGTTTGAGGTGTCATGTTTGTTGCTGAGTTCTTCCAGTTCCTGGCATTCCTTGTTCATCCGTTCCTTATTAGCCTTTCTGATTTCATATTTGATTTTATTTTTGATGGTTTTATATTTAATTCCATCTTTATTTTTGTATTTTCTTTTTTCAGTTATTAGCTCAACTATTTCCGGTGTCATCCAGTCTTTTTAGTGGTTTTCTCTTCTTCACTTAGGACCTATTTTCCCGCTTTTAGTATGGCTTTTGTCATATCTGCCCATTCCACGCTTCCTTCACTTAATTTATTTATCTATGCGTTTAGTTGCTGTTGGCAGTTGTCATCTTTTAAGTTTTTGATGTTTATTTTGGTGGTTTTAAATTTTTTCTACAGGTTTCTAAATTTAATGTTGACGTTTACTAGTCATAGATTATGGTCCATATCTGAATCTGAGCTTGGATAGATTTTTGCACTTTGTACTCCATTACAAAACCTTTTGTTAATCGTTATAAACACGATTTGGTTTCTGATTATATTGCTGGTGTTATCTTTTTCAGACACAAATATCTGAGACACGAAATCAAAATAAGCAGAGACAACCAAACACATGAAATACAGAGGCGAATAGGTCTAACATGGGCAGCATTTGGCAAATTAAGCCATATTCTAAAAAGTTTAATTCCCATGTGTCTCAAGCGAAAGGTTTATAACCAATGTGTTTTACCTGTACAAACTTATGGAGCAGAGACTTTAACACTCACGCAAAAATCTGCGAATAAACTTAGAGTTACACAACGAGCCATGGAACGTGCAATGCTGAACGTGGGCCTTCGAGACCACATAACAAACCAACAAATCAGGCGAAGATCAGGAGTTCAAGACGTCATCAAAAGAACCACGACGCTTAAGTGGAACTGGGCAGGGCACTTAGCCAGAACACAAGATGGACGGTGGACAAGACGTATTATGGAATGGAGGCCCAGAAATTATTAAAGAAGCCGAGGACGACCACCGACTAGATGGACCGATGACATTAAACGTGAAGCGGGAAACTGGCTACAAGCGGCCCAGTGTAGAGAACACTGGAAAGAACTGAGGGAGGCCTATGTCCAGCAGTGGACGCGATTGGCTGATTGATGATGATGATGATGTTATCTTTTTAAGAAGTCCACGTGTGTAATCTTCGTGAGGTTAGGTCGTAGTATGTATTTTTTATGACTAATTCTTTCTTCTGGCAGTACTGGACTAAACTATCACCTCTTTTTTTTTACCTAACCCAAAATTTCCTACAATATTTCCAGTTTTTCCTCGACCGACTTTAGCATTAAAGTCGCTCACAATTAGTTTTACCTCCTGCTTCTTTATGTTTTTTGTTAACAGCTCAAGTCCGCGAATTTTTGAAAAATTTTTAGACCTTAGCATCATTGCTATCAGATGTTCGAGCATGCACTTTTATTAGACTTATGTTTAGAGGTTTGGCTTTCAGCTGAAGTAGTATCATACGTTCGTTAAAGGGAATGCAATTTTGTGACAAACTCTTTTAAATTATTGTTGATAATAATAACAACACCATGGCTGTGTTCTCCAGTGCTTTTGCCTGAGTAGAAAATAGTAATTATTGTCCTTGTTGTAGTTACCAGAATTTGGCCATCGAACTTCTAAAAGGCCCAATACTTGTATGTCTAATCTCTCCATTTCTAGCATGACTGTAGTTAATTTTCTGCTTCATAAGGTGTTCTTATATTCCACGTTGCTATGCTTTTAAATCTCAAATATCGCTTTTGAGTCGATTGTTTTGCACTCAAGTATATTAGCCACTTGGACGCCCTGTGTTGGAGATAAGACTTCCACTCACAACCTGTCCTTATCCAGTATAAGACTTTATCTAGATCCTGGGTTATATCTTTCTAATATTCGCTTAATATTTTGGGTTAAAATAGGAATAAATAAAATGATCGTGTTAGTATTAACTGTTAATTTTAATTTTAATTATTTATATCTACAATAGTTCCATCAGGCAATTTGATTTTTCCATCATTTGCATTGTCTTTTCTGTCACCCTTACAGAAGGATTCTATATCAGCTTTGTTACATTGTTCTTCGCAACATTTTTTAACAACACCATAGGTTTCCTTAGGTTTTTCTGGTTGTTCTTCGGGTTCTTCTGTCGGATTTTGTGGATTATTTGTAACCTGTGCTGTAAAATCATAATTTGTTACATATATATATATATATATATATATATATATATATATATTATATATATTATATATTATATATATATATATATATTATATATAATGAAAATCACTAGGTTCTCGAGAAGAACCGCGTTGAGAATTTAATGCTCGACGTTTCGGCTTCACGATTTTTTCAGCATCTCTACAGAACACGATACTGGTACATTTCGAGTGAGGGGAGTACTCAGATTGAGACCCGAACTCGAACCGAACCGTATCCCTCTTGATAATGGCTCCAAAATGGGAGCCGAAACGTCGAGCATTAAATTCTCAACGCGGTTCTTCCCGAGAACCTAGTGATTTTCATTCATCTGACCGCGGAAAATACATTTATATATATATATATATATATTTATATATATATATATATATATTATATATATATATATATATATATACAGTGAAAAGGAGATAATGCTGGGAGATATTTTATACCTGAGGAAGCAAAATAAAACTCGGGTGCTTCGGTAGATGTGCTTTTTAATTAAAGGTCTAAGCTTTCGTCAATGATTATTGACATCATCAGAGTAAACCAAATATAGCAAACAACTCAGTTGAATTGGGTGGAAAACAAATAAAGTGTCATCTATGTATATATTTAACATAGTTTTAGATACATGATGAGCAGTATTCATAGTTCACAATGTATTTTTATTTAATTAATAAAGACCTATTTACATAAAACCTAACCACAAACAATTAAAACTTACACGTTGTTTAAAACAATCTAAAAGTAATTAACCATAGATAAATAATATAATAGTAGAAATAGATAGGCAACTCAATGTATAAATTTCGTTCATTAGGCCCCTTGCGGCTGGGGTCAATACTAATCATCTTTTGGCGGCAAATTCGAATGAACACCCCTTACATACATACCCTTTAGCGCCTCTTGTGGGCTATTTCGTTACTAATTAAAATTTATTGGAAAATAAGGATATAAGATGCACAATTTTTTCTAGATATACGTATATTTATTTGTTGTTTAAGATAAAACAGTTATAAAATAATTACATAATATTTATTACACATATTTGCAGAAGTTAAATACTATTATTTTTTGCTTTCTGACAACTTACTATCATTCTTTTTGTAATTTTTCCATGATTTGTACACAACGAACAATACAATAATTCACCATGTTTAGTTTTGTTACTAGCACAACACAAAAATTCTTTGCTACAATAGGTAACTCAAAATAAACTTTAAAAATTAAGTAACCAAATTTAAATTAAAATTACTAAGAATAAATGCAAACGAAAGTTAAAGATAATAAAATAAAATTGAAAACTTGTAAACAAACGGAAGATCTGTCATTAATTTGGATTGACAGAATTGACATTGCTTCGTTTGATTATGTTATTTGGTTTATGATTGGTTAAAGTCTTCGTGAGAGAGATAGGCTGTCATTTCTCTTTATTAACTCGCTGGGGTCAAAGTGATGGGGGAATGAACCAAGTCGTTCATATAAGATTCCAGGCCATGTAATTAACAATTTACGGCGGTGAGGCATCAATTCATTTTGAAGTTATTTTGTAATACGACGAGGTGGCTTTGCTGACTGTCATCATTATGTCATCTTGACACTTACATTTTGTTTACCTATGATTGATCATGGTTCTTAGTGGTTCTTAGTGTCGGAGATTGTGCAAAAGCCGTTGCTCTGGTTGAAGAGGGACGAAATTATGAATATAGTTTTTCAATTTAGTTCCCTTGGAATAAAAGTTTTCGGAATGCCAAAAAAATCTTTAAGTTCACTTATACAGAAGGACCAAAAACTGCTTAAATATTTTGATTGAAAAATCGTAAAAATATATGGAGAAATAGAAGAGCAAGGTTTGTGGCGCAAGCGTTGCAACTTTGAGTTATATAGAAGTTTCGGGGAACTTGGCGTTGTAAAATTCATTATGGTAGCACGCCTTAGATTTATAGTGCATGTAATCAGACGAGAGGAAGAGCAACAATCAAAAAAGCTTTTAAGCAAAGAGGGTGGATGGGATAAAGAGCCAGAGAAAAATCGAGACTTGGAATCAATACAACGACGATTTAAAATCTATTGGAGTATGAAGAAGAGTTGCCAGGGACAGAGGTGAAGGGATGATTGTTCTGAAGAAGACTTTGGCTCATAACGAGCTGTAATATCACTGATGATGATGATACTGAATTGCCTGAAAAAATATATAGTGAGAACAATACCTACAATATTTTAATTTTACTAACGTATGTTTGGTGGAGATTTGACACCATATACTTCTGCGCAGACTGTACGAACAACTTGAACTAATTGGTCATCACAATATTTCCTTGGTGTGTCATCAACTTGTACGTCTTGAGCATTAATCTCGACGAAGATGAGTACGAGCAAAAATATTTGGAATTTTAGGTTCATCTGAAAAATAATATGTATTGTTAATTGGGAATTTATATGAAATATATAAAAATATGTATTTTGGCGTATAAATTCCTACAGTTTGTATTAAATTAATATACACGATTTAGTGTTACATCCATTAAAATTTACAGTTATGATTTAAATGATTATAAATCTTGTCTACGTACATTGAAATAAAACATTATATCTTTTTCAAAAAGTGAAGCTGCTTGCTTCGGAATTTACACCCAGAAACTATGCTATAGAAAGGATAGTTTACATAAAGATTAAACTAGATGTCACTGTGAATAGTTGTAAGTACTACCAATGATTTTGTGATCCTTAAGTCCTTAGTTAGCGTGTACCGATTCAAAAATATTTTAATATTTCTTTTAAATTTCATTTCATTCAGAAAGAAGTAAATTTTATGGGACCCTGTATAGGATCTAATTCTGCTTCTTCCACTTACATATTCGAACGTTAGTTTATAATAATAAACAAAAATATCCTAGCGTTTCTTAAAATATAATAAACATTAAATGTTTGATTTACTCAGTATGTCTAAGTTTTGCTCATACAAATTTCGTATGTCTAAGTTTTTTATTAATAACAGCGCAGCGTGAGAATCGAAGTATATAACGTGACGATCAAAGTACTCGAGTTGAAGTAAAAATCAACTTTGCCGGCTTGAGAATTTTATTAAGATCAGTGTGAATCTAGCCTTTGGCGAGAATAGGTATGGAGTTTTGCCACTCAATTGGTTCATATCTACCAGAATTAAATCTAGAGGTTAAATCAGTACGGCATACCGGCTTTTCGCTGTATGGGTGATTGTTTTTTTGTTTTTGTGTTTTAAAACATCTTTATCATTGGCAGTAGTATTGTTTGGTCATAGTAAGCAGTAAATGTAACAGTACGAGTCAATTGAGTATTTGCCAGCAAATTATTCGTCAGAGATTTGAGTTACAGTAATGCTGACAAATAGTATTTTTGCAGTTTATGTAGTTTTTGGTAAACAAACAAACTGTAAGATAAAATGTTGTTTTGTTCCGTTTTTCATTTTCTTCTTCTTCTTCTTCACTGGCTTTACAACTCAGGGCGAGTCTTCGCCGCATCCACTATTGCCCTCCATCCTCTACGATCTTGCGCTTCTATTTCCCATTATTGTACCCCAATTCTAGATAAATCGGCTTCAACATTATCCTTCCATTTTTTTCTCGGTCGGTCTATTGATCTTCTCCCATCTGGTCTTTCAAAAAACACTGTCCTTGATATGTCTAACTATGTTTCTAGTTCCATACAGTCACCAATTCAGCATTGCGGCGTCTTCCCTAATCACCTGTGAATTCATATCTTTGAGTGCCAAATATTTCTGAGAACCTTTCTATCCAATACTAGAAGCCTATTGATTTCTCGTTGGTTAAGAGTCCATGCTTCACTGCCATATGTAATAATTGGGCGAATAATTGACTTGTACAGTGTTAATTTAGATTTTTTTTTAGCATCTTCGATCTTAATAATATTGAAAGGGAGTATAATGCTCTATTACCCGCAGCTATTCTTGCTGAAACCTATTTTTCTATGTGGTTGTCAGCTGTGGTTATCGCCAACAGGTATTTAAACTCCTTTACTACTTCGAAATTGTGATCATTAATATTGATGTTCTGTCTAACTCTTGGTCTTGGATTTTTGGTTGTAGTCTCTCTCACGTCTCTTGTAGAATGCGTGACTGCATCTATATCATCAGCAAAGGCCAGTAACAGTTTTGTTACTTGATCAGCAAAGCCTCCTGTCAGCTCTATTGCATAATCTAAAGCAAAATTGAACAGCAACGGTGAGAAGGGTCCCTCTGCCTAGTCCTGAATTTATACCAAATGGCATTGATGTTCTGCTTCCTATCTTTACTTGCGCATATAAGTCTGTCACGGACATTTCCGTTAATTCAACTAATTTTCTTGGTATTCCCATTTCTAACATTGCTATCCACAATTTGCTTTTTTTTATAGAATCATATGCTTGTTGGAAATTTATTAAAATTTGGTGCACATTACACCAACAATTGCATTCAATTGCTATCAACAATTTTCAGTTTTTTCCTAATATTTGTCGGATGGTAAATATCTGATCTATAGTTGACCTTACAGCACAAAAGCCGCATTGGTAGTCGCCTAGAATATCTTTCGAATATGGTGTGAGTCTCTTTAGCAAGATAATTGAATAGTATTTTATATGATGTGCTAATAAGCGATATGCCTCTATAGTTTCCGAATTGTTCCATATTTCCTTTCTTATATATGGGAATTATAACGCTTCCTTTCCATTATTGATGCATTTTCTATTATTGCCATACTCTCAGAATGATGTCATACAATTTTTGGTGTAAAAGGTTTTCTCTTTTTTTTAACAACTCTCCATTTATGTCATCATTTCCTGGTGCTTTATGGTCTTTTAAAGACGCGATCGCATTCTTTACCTCCTCAAGTGTTGTTGCTGGTATTTCGATATCTGCAGAATGAAACGTAAAATCTGCTTCCTCCGTCTCACTTTCAATATTTAGTAAACTCTGAAAGTATTCCTTCCATCGTTCGACGATTTCCGTTACCATCATTACAAGTTCACCTGCTTTATTTCTCATAGGCTGTATTACTCCAATACTTGCACCATTTCTGACTGACTTCATTTCACGTTTTTCTTTTTGGTGAAGCAAATTAGCCTATATAAAAAAGTCAAATAAAAATATAAAGCCCTAATATTATTATAATATTTGGGTCCTTTATGCCTATATTAATAAGACGTGTGTGTCTGTATTTCGGAAATTAGCTTTTCAAACCTGGAATCTGTATTCAATACAAAGTGATGTTATTTATGTGTTCATAGCGATTTCTCATGTTCATTTTAATAGCACTCATTGACGCGAAATTTAACTCGCATAAATAAGATGTTACAAACAGAATCAAATATTTCAGAGCTTCGCTCGCCTGGTTCAAAACTGATCCGAGTATTTGGGAAAAAGTTTAGTTTTAACATTGTATCACTTGATACATGATATTATAATTAGATTGTTTTTCATTTTTATCGGAATGTCAGCATTTTGAAAAGGATTGTTCAAAAAGGATTTAGTAACCATCTCTACTTGTGATAGCTGGTTTAGTTGCAACATAAATAAGATGTTGCAAACAGAACCAAACATTTCAGAGCTTCTCTCGCCAATTCGGGATATTCGTGGATTCTTCTGGTTCAAAAGTGATCGGGTATATGGGAAAAAGTTTAGTTTTAACATTGTATCACTCGATACTTGATATTTCAATTAGTTTGTTTTTCATTTTTATCGGAATGTCAGCCTGTTGACAAGGATTGTCCAAAAAAGGATTCAGTAACCATCTCTACTTGTGATAGTTGATTTGAATTTCTTTGGAAAAACATTTAATAAGTGTTGTTTTATTTTATTCAAAGCAACTTGCATATCTGTAAAAACTTGCATACAATTTATCCTATTAGGTACTATACTAGGCTAATTCTTCCCTGAGTTCTTGAACGCACTGGAATGAACCAACATTCCTTTTTTCAATTTAAATCTGACATAATTAATTTTTTTTTTAAATATCATTTAAGTTTATTCATGGTAAGGCGAAATGTTTTTGGGTTTCTTGGTACGAAATGGCCTTTTTACAATGAATAGCTTTTTCAAAAAAAGTCCCCAAAGAAAATAGACCTGGGCAAGTCCAGATGTAGTCACCAAAAATGAAATTGATTTTGTCTTAACCAACAACAAAGAAATGGTCTATGATGTAACAGTTCTTAATAGCTGTTCAGTGGGAAGTGATCATAGAATGGTAAGAACGAAGATCGTGCTAAATCTACAAAAACAAAGATATAAAATGATAACAAAAACACACCCAATAGGATGGAATCCAATTAAAAAAACCACGTCCTTCGAAGAGGAAATTCTGAGATGTCTACAGACAACAAATATAGACGTTATGGATGTCAAGAAAAAATCAGTCAAGAGACAAAAAGACTTATGGAGACACGAAGAGAACTTAAAAACAAAAACGATACGAATGCACGCGTACTACAATAACTTAATATATATTATTAATGTATTAATATATATTAATAATGATATATATATATATTATATATATATATATATATATATATATAAACAATAAAGATATTAATAAAGCAGTGTGAAAGGATGTACGACAATATAATACAAAAAAGATTACAACAGTTGTCGAGGAAAATAAAAGTTTAAAGGTGCTAAAGATATGTCAAGCTCTAGGTCAGAAGAATCTTGTTGAGTGTTGAGCTCGCAGATCGAAATGGAAAAGTGGTAACAGATAAAGATAAGATAATTAAGGTAGTTAAAGAATTTTACACAGAATTATATAGAGAAAGGGGTAAGAAAGACGGCATTAAGTTGAGAAAAGTCCAGAATGTGGGTTCAGAAGATATCCCAGAAATAACAATGGAAGAAGTCTCAAAGTCATTAAATCGAATGAAAAACAATAAAGGAGCTGGTGATGACCAAATCGTTATTGAGGCAGTTAAAGCAGGAGAAAAGACAGTATTGAAAGTTCTGGAGCAATTTTCTTGTGGCATTTTAAATTAATTACTATTTAACTGGGAATAAGCCACAATTAAAGATAAAAATACGTTTATTGACGTTTCAATTTCCACTTCGGAAATCGTTCTCAAAATACAAACAGTAAATTAAACAAATTTTGTTTTTTTATATAACATAAAAAAATATATCATGCACAAAAAGGGAGATATAACAGAGCTAAAGAACTATAGACCTACTACATTAGTACTTATGTTTGTATTTTGAGAACGATTTCCGAATTGGAAATTGTAACGTCAATACACGTACTTTAACCTTTAATTGTGGCTTATTCCTATTTAAATAGTAATTAGTATTTTAAAAATGGGGACAATTTACTATTATACAATTCAGCACATTGGACCACTTAAATCGACACCTCAAACCTATTTTAAAATAGTCTTATATTCGTGGAATGAAGTATACCTCATATTGTCCGTGAAACCATGGAGTGCGTTCAAGAATCTGGTTTAGAGACTTTAGATTGTCCATCAAGATCAGCTGATTTGTTACCCATCGAATATGTGTGGGATATGGTAGATCGAAACCTAAATTAATTGCCACGTCCTCCAGCAAACTTAGCAGATCTGTAGCATGCGATAACAAGAATCTGGATGAGTATTCCGCAATATGATATAGCCTACTTAATTTACTGAGTATAGAAAATCAAATTGTTTGATGAAAATGACATTGAAAATTTGTTTATAATGTTATCAATAAATAATGTATACTTCCATAAATAAATATTTAAAAAACTATTTGTCCTTCTGGGTGTTGCATTTTTTCTGGTCATCAGTATATTATTTAATTTACTATTTCGAGTTCCAATTTGTAAATGATTTTGTATAAAGAAAATAAAATATCTGTATAAATTCTAATTATTATTTCGTGCATATTAGACCCAAGTAGTACAAACTTAAACTTCTAAAAACAACATAAAAAATAGTTTTATTCTTACCTTGAAGCACGTTGTGTTAAAGCGAGAATAAATTTTAAGTGTCTATATGTTGATTGCAACTGTAGGTATACTTTAATTACTTACCTAAATTAATTTTAGGATATAAAAAATCTAAACAATAGCAATACACATAAAACACTTATAAAATTACTTTAATATTATCAATAAACAATTACACACAATTCAATTAAGTAATCGATAAAACAAATACGATTGATCCTATGTTTTTGTATAATGTTTATATATTATTTACCTGATATTTATCTTATGTCATCTATTAGCTTTTTTAATGGTGCCTTACACTTTTCTTCTTTGTTTTTGGCCACCATTCTGTGATTTTCTTAGTCTACTTTTGTTTTGTGTGTCTCACTATATGATTCTACTTACTTGTATTTACTTAACGTTTGTTCTTCGAATTTTCTCGTTGCAGATTCTATTTTTATTCTATTTCGTATACTTCTTACAAAACGCCTATGGAGAAGAAGCTTGAAAAAATACAAGAGCTCTTTCCGAACGGCAGATGGCATGGTGTATGGAGGGATGAAGGAGCTGAGCGGGCTGTATCCTTTACCATGGATGAACTTGTCGAGGCATTGGGTTCAATCAAGACGCGTAGGCCTCTCGGACTGGATCAGATACTACTTAAGGCAGTGAAGGGTCTACGACGGTTTGAGCCTGCGTGGCTTCTGGAACACATGAATGTACTGCTGAAAGCACAAAGCTTTTCTGAGCCTTGGAGGACATCGAGGTAAATACTGCTTCCCAAGGCTAGGGAAAAGTATCGCTTTATCTGTCTTCTTCCATGTATTAGTAAACTTTCTGAAAGGATGCTGCGAGTACGCATAGACGACATGATTGAGAGGTCAGATGGTTTATCTCGGAGGCAATTTGGTTTTTGTAAAGGGAAAAGCACGATTGAAGCAATCATGAGTGTACACGAAGCATTGCGCAACAGAGGGATGAACATCGCTGGGCGGCCCTGCTGTTGTTTGATGTTAAGAATGCATTCAATACGCTGTAGTGGAACGAGGTAATGAAGGCAATATAGGGGAGAGAATTTCCTGGTTACCTGATGCATGTGGTGGCGGAGTATCTGTCCAAGAGAAGGATTATGGTGGAATAGGCACGACCGTGGACGTGACGGCCGGGGTGCCCCAGGGATCTATCTTGGGCCCGACGCTATGGAACCTGGCATATGACGGGATTATGTACTGTGAATACGGAGAGGGTAAAACCCCCTTCGCATTCGCAAATGACCTCGCTGTACTGGTAGTGATACGGGATGAGCCAGATCTCAAATACCGGGTTCGGAACGCAAGCCGTGTCGTAAAGAAATGAATGATGCAGCACTGACTGAAAAACATTCTGAAGAAGACAAGAAATAGGAAAAGTAGTAAATTACAATGTGCGGAGCATGTCTAGCACCCAAGAAACGAGTAAAGTACCTAGGACTGACTTTGCACCAGAATGGAAAATAAGGGGAGCACGTGCGGGAGGTGGTCCTGAAGGCTGCGAATAGTGCGGCTGAGTTGGGGAGAGTCCAACGTTGGTGGATCCAAATTCAGAAGGAGGAGAGTCTTACACGGTGTTACAGTCGATCGTCCTCTACGCGGGACCAGTCTAGAGCAAGGTGGTAGAGATAAAGGCCTATAAGAGGCTTATGACACACGTGAACAGAACAAGTCTGTTGCATGCGCCTACAGGACTGTGTCTACAGCAGCTTTGTGGATCATCGCTGGATGTGTTCTATTGCATGTTTTGGTGGTGGAAAGAAAAGAGCTTTATGAGAGAGGCCTAAACCTTACTGTGGCCGAGAGAAGACAGGAAAGGAAAAGGTCAATTGAAAGATGGCAAGAATGGAACAACGCGGAGGATGTGGCACAGTGGACGAAAATGCTGATAAAGAACATAAGAGATTGGGTGGACTGTGGACACAGACGGCTGGATTATTTTCTGACGCAAGTGCCCACAGGACACGGGTGTTTTAGAGCGTACCTCTCTAGGTTCAAAAAGGCTAACACAGATAAATGCCTATACTGTGGATACTCGGACACTGTGACACATACGATGTTAGATTGCAGCAGATCAGAGGAAACAGATAGAAAGGAACAGAATGGAGAGAGAGGCAGGTGTGTATTTGGTTACAGTTAGAGAAATGATTAAGAGAATGATTGAAAATAAATCAGGTTGGACTAACATACACAGCTATATCCGTGAAGTGATCAAGAAAAAGAAAGAGGAAGAAAGACAGTTAGACCAACAGCAAAGATAAGTGTGAGAGATGCTGAAAGTTGAAGCTAGAAAAGTGGGTCAGACTGTATGAGTTAGAATGCGTGAGTCAGATTGTGAAAAGGAGGAAATGCTCGTCTGGGAATAATGCCGTACTAGGAGCGATGAGGGTCTTTTACGCGCTACCTGGAACTACACAGAGAGCCTCCTTGCTCATGAATATATGAGTGCTCATGAGTGTTTGTATGTATGAATGGAGAATGAATGAATAAAGGTAGTACTTCGGAAGTGATGCCGGCCTTACAGCGGCCATTCCGCTTCCGGATCGCTGGATGACAGAGGAGGATGTGGTTTAGCAGGTAGGCGTTCGGCGTATACTCGGCGACGAGAGGGCATTTTAAAGTACCTCAGTACTCTGCACCAAGATCAGTCAGGTGGCGTCCTGAACTGAGATGTCTTTTGAAAATTCCAGACCCCCTTCTATAAAGACGAAAAAAAAAATTCTATATCTTAGGGAGACATAGAGTATTCGTCATTCGATAGCTCTTTGTGTTATTTTGGCGTTATTACTTGATGTATTTTATTAGTGTCATGGTGACACTAATGAAGACAAGGTGCACTAGTAGAAAACAAGTATTATACATCTTCCTTTTAAGATGTATGGGTAGGTCTTTATTTTTTAATATATAGCTTATATTACTGAATGCCACCCATGCTAGTCTTACACGACTTGCAATTTCTGTTTTTTGATTTTTCTTTTTCAATTTGATTTTGCTTTAGTCCTGACTATTTTACCGCATATTTTCTATTCATTTTATATATCCCAAGATTTTAAAATAATAATTAAACCCTAGAGGTCTTATCCTCTGTTTGTTAATTATAAGTACTATAAAAACTCCAGTGGTGCTCCAGGAACGCATAAATATATGATTGATTTTATAGTCACTAATAGAAAAATCCACCCAAAGAAAATTCTAGATATCCGAACTTTAAACTATGACAACATCTAAATTCTCACCACGGTGTAAAATCGAAATTGATGGGAAAATAATAAAGTAGGAAGCAAGGTTTAAATATCAATACAGCGGCTGGATCTCTTAATGACACAATCTGGAAGAACAAACATCTAAGACAAGACACAAAAACACGAATCTATAAAGCAGCAATTAGACCTATATTAACATACACGGCGGAGACAAGACCTGACACATCTAAAACGAAACGACTACTAGAAACAACAGAGATGAAAATACTCACTCAGACGAATATCAGGGAAAAGTCTGTTAGAAAGGGAGAGAAGCGAAAAGATAAGAAGAACATGCAATATCGAAGACTAGAATATGGGTGACAAAACGAAAACAGAAGTGGAACGAACACATCAGTAGAATAGCAGAGGATAGAATAGTACGAATAGCACGAGATAAGTCACCAAATGGACGAAGTACTGGCAAAACAAAAAAAAGATGGTGCGATAATCTAAACAATTTAGGAGGCTAATATTGAAGAAAAAACAGGCTTTAAAGCCTACGTACAAGTAGGAAAAAGAAGAAGAAGAAAACAAAATTAACAAAAATTATAATTAAAAGGTTATAATTAACTCGTATATACATTCTTAATTTTTATTGAAAATGGAGTTAACAATTTCTCCTATCTCTTCATTTTCTAATACAGTAACATGGTTTCCTTTGGCCGTTATTATGCCTACTTCGCTTGTAGCAATAGTTGATAATCCGCGATCAGCTTCAATATCCTTGATTATTGACTCTTCTGGCGCGATAAGGGTTATTTTTGATTTGATCTTTTTAAATGACTGCTCATAGTTCATGGCAAGTTTCGCGTGATTATAAAATCCGTTGGCTAGGTACCTTTTGAATGCTATGGACTCTTCAGAAATGTCATTTTGTTTTAGAATTTCTTCACCTAAATCAAGTCTTTCATTCCAGGTACTGCATTTTACCATTTTTTCCTAAAAAAATACAATAATAAATAAAATTGTCGCTATATTAGTTGTCTAATGACACTTTGAAATGTGCCAAATTGATCAAAAATCTAACTAATGTATTTCTCCTTGTTGTACTAAAAATTTTGTGATTACTCAAGACCAAGGTGAATTAGTAAATATTCAGTTATGAATTCATTAATAGTTAAATAATTTTACCTGATGTTTGGAAATAATCTCACTGGACAAAGTAAATGACATTAAATGGCAGACAATAGATGTTTCAAATTCGGCTTCTGAAAGCGTACTGAAGGGTTGTGTCAACTTCTTTACAAATGATGGTCCACCATCTACTACTACTACGTCTCCTATATATCCTTTATTTTCTAGCAAATGTACAACCTCTAGAGCTATTGCGGCACCAAAAGAATATGCTAGTATTTTAAACTTTTCAGTTTCCTTTACACGTTCTTCTACTTTCTAAAAAAAAATATTTTTGTGAGTTGAATTTATATTCTTTATATTATTATTCATTTCTAAAGTTAGTATAATTTGCAAGTAAACTGGCACAACTATTTAACAAAATATTAAACAAAACAGAAACACCAGAGGAATGGCATAATAGTATCACAATCCCCATATTTAAAAAAGGACAAAAAACCTGCCCACAAAACTATAGAGGAATAACCCTCTTAAATACAACAATGAAACTTTTCACGGGTATTCTCAAGGACAAATTGGAAAAGCAAATCACTAATGCTGAAGAACAACAAGGTTTTACAAAAGGGCGGTCTATAACAGACGCAGTATTTATAATAAAACAAATAAAAGAAAAAGCTATAGAGTTCGGCATGCCAGCGTATATTTGCTTCATTGATTT